GGTGCCACTGACTGAAGTGTCTTTAGGCCATTCCCAAAGGGCGGTCATTTCTCGTTCTAATGCACAGTGGAATTGTAAATAGGCTCATCCAACAATGTCATGCTCATGACTGCCTGAACTACAACAGAGAACTGCTGCTTTTTCTTTCCTAATCCTTACTATCGTAATTTTCCTCTTCTTCTTTTGTATGTTTGACACCCTCTTGTGACCCACTATTTCCGGGGTTTCTTGAAAGTCAAAACAAACTTTGTGCTGTTAAAGCTAGAGAGGTGAGCAGAGTAAGCTAGATTCCCTGTAAGGACTTCTCTGTTGACATTCACCCCTTTACGCTCATATGACCTTCTGCAGTTGCGAGTGCCATAAAACCTCAACTAAAACTTAAAAAACCGTCTCGCTTTGAATGTTGTGATGCAATGTGGCCTGAATTAGTATCATTCTTTTCTTAGAGACAACTCGAGAAGATTTCCAAGATGAAGGTATTAAGCTCAATTATGTGTGTACACCTCACCATTTCACAGCCACTCATGCCATTAGACTAATAAAACAATTGTATCGTCATTACTTTAAGGATGTTTTCTTCCTTCCTTTTAAAGCCATGTGTGGATTCCTCTGTGACCTGTATCTACCGATGACCTAATTTTGCTCTCCTTGTTTTTTGTTTTAGATATACTCCTGGGCTGTGTTATCCCCACATGTCCAGTTATTCTTTTTTCCCTGAAAATGACAAAACAAATGTGAGGCGTGCTGACAAAATCAGTTACTTTTCGCAAGCCACAAATAGAGATATTGGCCAAAATTTGACACTAAGGTCAAATTTGTAGAATTTCTATTGATGTCATATTCTTTAACTATAACATTTCTTTTATTATTTCAGACTTATAAATTGTAAAAACTTCACCCATAAGCGTGATGTATCTATTTCCATAATTCTTGAGTCCGAGAAGTAACTCATTTTGTCAGCACGCTTCCCAAATGTTCTTCTTTTTACTGGTACAAGATCTGAATTCTTACTCGTTTGTGTGCAAAGGAAAGTTTATCATAATTTCTGACTCTGTAACATGCCCTGTCTTCACTGCGGGAACAGAAAAGGATAAAAGAAAAGCTGTTAATGAGCTGCTCCCACAATGATATATTTATGTACAAATATGTGGCGTTGTGGTGAAATCTGGCGCTCGCAAAAATAAATGAAAGAAAGCTCCACTTTTCTACCCGTTGTGTAATCTATATGGATTTTTTTAATGGGTTCAGAATCTTATATATGTTAATTAAAAAACACATTTATGAGTGGATTCTGCTGACAACATCGATCTAAGGCTTAAAAACAAAGGCTCAAAAAATGTAAATTTACAGTTTCCAAGGACACTCAAATTTTGAAAGTGACCAAACTTTGGCAGCCATTTTCTCGTACGCTAATTTTATCTCTGACACGAAGCGACCCCCATTTCTTTCACTAAGAAATATCTCGATTTCTATTCAAGATAAATGGGTTGTTGATTTTTTTCACCAAAAGGAAAGCAAATGAACAGGCTTTATTAAGATTAATATATCAATAACTCCATATCCCCAAAACTTGACGAACACCGCCAGATTCCACCGTGACGTGACACATATTTTCCCTATAGAGAAGTATGTTTATGTATTTGTGAGGCAGCATGGTGAATTCAGGCACTCGTCAAAATGATGAAAGTGAAGAAACTGACACTTTTCCGCTGGTTTGGCAATTATTTTGGACATTTTGCTTTTTGGCTCAATTCCTTCTATGTTCTATGTCCATTTAAGAAAATTTTTTTAGTGTGAATTATATTGAAAAACATTGATTAAAGGCACACAAAATGCAAATTGTAAATTTCACTGGACTCTTGGACCTTGTGAGTTATGAAACGTTGGCAGCCATTTTCTCACTAATTTTACCTCTGAAACCAGGCGACCCCCCATCTCAATCAATCACAAATATCTCGACATGTATTCGAGATAAATGGGTAATTCTTTCATCAAAAGCAAGGCAAATGAACAAGCTTTAGAGCTATATCAATAACTCCATATACCCACAAATTGACGAGCTCCTGATTCCACTGCGTTGTGCCACGTATGTCATCACTGTTGCAAGAAAAGTGAGGAACTCCTTTTTTTTCCCTTTGCTCACCTTGTAAAGAATTTTCAAACAGAGGGATGCTTTTTTCTTGCAACAATGACAATATGATCTAGCTAGAAAAAAAGTTAAGAGTTAGGATTCTTTATGGAATAATAAGTGTGAAATTTTAGTTCATTAATTTTAATATACAATTACTTCTAGCGCTGCTGCATTACGTACTCACCTTCACTCCTCTCCCTTCATACCAACAGATGACCCACCCCCCTTCCCCCCCAACCTCCTCTTCCTCTCCAATTTTATCTCTTCTCCCATTCCCTTACACTTTTGAGTATCTTAGTTCACCTGATCTTGTAGTTGTTTTGCAGTATTATCAATGATCGTAAATAACAAGATGGTTCACTCCTCTCTTTGAGCCAATTAAAAAAGTGGCCTCAAAATTCGGTGGTGCCTTCTTCGCAAATGCACACTCTTTGCGAATAGAGTCACCCTACTTGTGTGAAAATAATTTAAGAGAAACTAACAAGTTTTTGAATAAATAAGAATTCAAATTTCGGAAGAACGCTTTTTTAAAATGGTTACGCTGAGAAAAAACCTCTTGGAAGAGGCAACTGTTTTCTTCGTTTATTTTGACTTTAAAATGAGAGACGAGAGGTCATTAAAATAGAAAAACCTAAAACTCTGCACAGAAAGAACCCGAACAGCTGATGAACAGCAGTCGATCTGCGCACGTAAGGAGATGCTATTCCTATTCTTCTGGAGAAACGAAAGAGAGCTTCAAAACAAAGACTGCAGCGCCATCTGAAGCAATGAGTGGAATTCCGCGGACACTTTTTTGGCTGAGTGAACTATCTTGTTATTTACTATCTTTGGTATTATTCTGCCAGAGGGATACTGGTGGCCTTGCACTTCACATCACCAACAATCTATAGCTCTCCTACTGCCACTCACCATTAACACAACAACTGAGGCTAGCTTAAAAAAGTTTTCTTCATAAATTTATATAAAATACTACAAATTTCCTTCACACGGAAAATGGGATTGTTCACAGCACTTCCCCCTTCTCACACACATTTTGCATACACATATATGGCCTATGTACAGCTCATCAATGATATTATTTTGTTGCAAAACTTGTTACAAGAAATTAATTTTGTAGTGAACACATTTATCTCACTAAAGTTTCTCAAAACATGCGTTCAATAAGCATAACGTCGCGATTTTTAAAGAATGACAGACTTGCTTTTAAAAGCGATATTGCCTCAGCTGTAAACTTTTTAAAAATCTGTAGAAACCATCGACTGGGATTTTTTATTAGTAATTATTAAGGAATGTTCTAGAATACAGTGTGCAAGTGTTTGAAAAAATATTCATCAGTTAAGACAAATTGATAAAAGTCATTGTGCAAAACTTGGAGAATTTATGTTCAATAGTTAAGGAGATATTTGACACTAAGTTCCGCCACGAATTTTTGACAGCACTATAATACTTTTGGAGTATCATATAATATTCATGTTACTCAAGTTTTTTTAAAGTCTATCTTTTTACGTAGAATCTAATGTGAACATAATTTGATCTAAGATGTAAGGACTCCTGTTTTATGTGGTATTCTATTTCCCGCTGCTTTTTAATATTTGAATACGTCGCTGAGAAATGCTCAAATGTTGTTGCACATATGTGATCACATGTTTTCAGCTGTCTGGATAAACTCTTGAACTATCAATTTTTGCCTCAAAAGAAGGACTTCCCATAGTATTTAGGAAAATTTGAAGAAAAAATAATTGACCACAAAAAAATTCATTCTAATTTGCAGGACCCAGCTGCCCTTGCCTGGTCTTTTCAGATAACAGAGCTTTGGGTTTACTAGTGCTTCTTCACTATCTTCTCAAAGTCTCAATTGTGGGTGGTTGGGGGGTGCTCTGGTGTGGTTTGCTTATACTTTCCTATCAAGCAACTATTGTCTTTATCTCCCCTCCTTCTTTTTTGTGTTTGTTACTCTCCTGTAACGTATCTGATCTTCAGCACTTATTTGACCTTATTATGTTGCATGTACTGTAAAACTCTTACTAAAACTAAAAAGTCTCAAATATAATATAGTGAAAAGGGTACAACCATGCTGCTTCGTGTACTCACAAGACAAGCCTATACTCTACTCTTTCAGCTTCTTTTGCCCATCGCTCCAAATATTTTGTTTCGCTGCTCTTTAATCCTAGTAATTATAGAGGACAATGATATAGCGTGTCTCTGCTCAAAAGTAGGCTCTGTGGGTGTTGCACTGTATGATAACCCAGACAGACTTGTTCATGTTGTGAAATGTTCTCGGTTTCCATGGAAACTTTCGTGGCTCAATGACATTTAAAGGTGCTCAAATGCTAATATACTGGCTAGAACTTTCACTATCTTAGCCAATTGCTGATTCTCAAATTTAAATTCAAATTATTATTTAAATGTAGTGTTTTTACATTGATACTTGGGTGGTTGGTGGGTGCTCTGGTTTGGTTTGGTTCTTCTTTCCTATCAAACATCTATCATCCTTATCTCCCCTTCTTCTTTTTTGTGTGTTTATTACTCTCTCATAACACCTCTACTCTTCAGCACTTATATGACCTTATTGTGTTGCAAGCACCGTAAAAACTCTACTAAAGCTTTTTAAAAACTTGGGTCTCCTGCGTGCGACAGCAAAGTACCACAGATGCTGGAGCAGATTCTAACTCGCAAAGTAAGAACATTTCTGTTGAGTCTCTTTCTGAATGAAGTGATCTTGGCCACAGATTGGGATGAACCTGCACCTTTACGTTTGTGAGTTTGACTGCTCTACCACTAGACTACTGAAGCAACAATATGGTTGCTTTTAAGGACAAGAGGGCTAACCCAGATTTCGGGGGTTTCCAGAAATCTTGACCTACTCCAAAAGTGGGCATTTCCCTACCTATAGGAAAAGTTTGGTTCCATTGGTGTGTATATTTATTTGGTTATAGAGAAAACTCTCCTTGTATTTTAAAGAAACTGAATAAGTGTTCAAAAACTTTACCTTGGATTTTCTCAAAGCATCATTTTTCGGGATAGCCCCTTTGTGCTTAAAAGCGACCATTTCTCTCCACATGGGAATCAAACTTGGGTCTCCTGCGTGCGCCAGCGAAGTACCACAGGTTCTAGAGCAGATTCTAACTCGCAAAGTAAGAAAATTTATTTGGAGTCTCTTTCTGAATGACATGATCTTGGGCACCTTACATTTGTGAGTTTGACTGCCTGACCACTAAACTACTGAAACAACAATATACAGTCTTATAATCTCTATTGTTGATTGAAACCTACTGAAACTACTGAAACAACAATATAGTCTTATAATCTCTATTGCTCATTCAACATTTGTTTGTCTAGACTCGTCTGACAGTGAAACGGAGGAGGAGGAGGGCACCGCCAAAAAAGCTGATTCAGAAAAAGAAACTTGGTCGCAGAAAAACTGGGAGGATTTGTTATTGAAGGTATTTTTTCATTTTTTCTTTGTGAGTTGATCCATTTGTGGGTGTTCTTGTCATTTTTCTTTTTCTCTTTTAGTGGTTCTGATCATATGTTGTACTTTTTTTTTACAGTACGTTCCTGGTCAAGTGTGGCTATTATGCTTTTTGTCATAAGTTGCTGCCTGAGAATTACAAAGTTCTATCTGACATTTTTCGCCATTTTGAGTTCCTAAGACCAAGAGGTCTGAAACCAAATGTTCTATCTGTTCTATCAAAATCGTGGGATTATTCAGAGACTTTATCAACATATTCAAAGAATTGCATTAAAAAATGCTTGACAGGTTGTTAAACTGAAAATTTTTGACATCAGATTTCTCAAAACTAGGTACTGAGCAGAGAGAGCGTTGTAATTGTAAGGTAGGGAAGTAACAACACAGCTGGGTTTTGTTTGTCAGTTCTAAGTCAAGTTGAAAAAGTATCAGCCAGAGAAGTGCTGTAAAACCTCTACTAAAACTAACTCTCTTGATGGAATGTTCTGAGCAAATGGCATACCTCTTTATGCATGATATGTTGTCTTGTGGGTACTTTTTTTTTCTATCTGTATGTTGTTTGTTTATTCTTTGTTGCAGATTGTATTGTCTTTTCTTTTTACCGAAGTCCAGTAAATTCTGGAAATTTGACCATGCCCAATTTTAGCTTTGGAATGCTTGGAAAGTAGCACTGATAGGTCTTTTTTTTCAACTGCCGTCGGATGTTTTTGATTGTCTATCATGCTATTTGTGTCTGTTATAGACACTGAAAGATCGGGATAGAATAGCTTTTGTAAGAGCATCCAAGCAAAGGAATGAATGGCGAACCATGATCGCAGAAGTCGGTTACAGATCTGGCATTTGATGATGATTGTGTCTGTAAGCTTCCTTTTTTGTGGGTGGTTGGCGGGTGCTCTGGTCTGGTTTCCTCCTTCTTTCCAATCAGACATCTATCGTCTTTGTCTCCCCTCCTTTTTCGGTAGTTGGTTGGCGGGTGCTCTGGTGTGGTTTGCTCCTTCTTTCCTATCAAACATCTATCGTCCTTATCTCTCCTCCTTCTTTTTTGTATACGTTACTCTTTTATAACACCTCTACTCTTGGGCACTTATATGACCTTATTGTGTTGCAAGTGCCGTAAAACACTTACTGTAACTATATGTTTCAGTGTTTCTACTCACTCTAGGTGGGCGGTTAGCAGGCACTCTGGTGTGGTTTGCTCCTTCATTTCTCTAATAAATCTATCGTCCTTATCACATCTCCTTTTTTCTTTGTATGGTACTCAGTAGTATCACATACAATCTTTGGCACTTTTATGACCTGTTTATGTTGCGAGTGCTGCAAAACTCTGACTAAAACTAAAACTTTTCCCTCCAGATGCTGTCCAAAAGCCTGGATGTAGTGGACACAGAGGAGTGGACAGCAGAGCTAGGCGAAGCCTTTGGTCACCAGGTGTCCCTGTATGCTTCCTATGTGGAAGAGAGAGTGAGTAGATCATTGCATTTATTTTACCCTCCCAACAACTAAATTTTAAGTATTAATGAAAGGTGATGATTGGAGAACCATGATCGCCAATGTCTGTTTCAGATCTGGCACTTGATGACAATGATGATGGAAGGGGAGAGGGGGGAAGAGGACTGTTTCCATTACCTGTCCTTGCCAACAGGGGCTGAGAGAAAAGTGCATCCCAGAAGACAGGTGGAGGTATTCCACGTAGTAACTTCCTGACATGGGAATGACACTCCAGTCTTCTACGTACAACAGTATAGAACCTTACCTTTGAATCGCACAGGCTGATGAGGGTGAATAAATACCTAAGTACCACTCTGTACCTGCCAGTAACATTTTGTCTTTGCATTGCAGGACAGACCTTACTTTGAACTTAAACAGGGTTTAGATTTCAGGTTCAAAAGTAATAAAAGTGAAATGGAATACGGTTAATGCCCCTGTCAACAGTATTTGGTTAATTAAGAGGTGGGACCTCTGAGTTTATCATCAATCTTCAAAAGGACAGAGCCAAATAGGAAATTTGTGTAAAGTGTCTTTCCCAAGGAGACAATGTCAGACGGAGCTGAGGCTCGAACCCCCTAACCCACAATCTCACTGTCACAGTTCAGTATTAAGTTGTACTGTGGGTAAGAAAGAGATTGAGAGAGAATAGTCAGATTTTGATGGGTTACTGTTTGCAGTTAGCTCTGAACGTGGCTGACGTGGAGGGAAAAATAATTTGTTGTTTCTTCTCGGAAATTATCATCTCGGTTCTGTTATTGGAGGATGCTGGAGAGTTTATGGGTGGTTGGCGGGTGCTCTGGTGTGGTTTGCTTCTTCTTTCCATTCAAACATCTATCGTCTTTATCTCCCCTCCTTCTTTTTTTGTGTTTGTTACTTCCTTGTAACACCTCTAATCTTTGGCACTTATATGACTTTATTGTTTTACAAGTGGCGTAAAACTCTTACGAAAAAGAAAGCGGAGAGTTTTCTTCCTCAGAATTTTTTTGGCTGAGGTACAGGCCTACTGTGCCTAAGTTAATCTTTGGGTCTGTTGATAACTTCGGCTTACGTGTTCCAGCCACTGGCTTTTTTATTATGACCAGTAATTTTCTATATTGACATTTTGTAGAACATTTTATGATTTAAAAAAATCTATGTAGAAGCTTTTAGTTTCTAAGTCTAAGAGACATGATTTACGCCCAGTATAAATTTTCAACAGAATCTTCATCCTCATGACCTTAAGACTTGCACAATATCAGATATCAGATATGATATTGTCTTCTTTTTTTTTAACCTTGGGACGGTTGTCTCCTTCTATAAAACTCTGTATGTTTTTCTTGTTTGGCTCTGAAAATATCATGTGTTTTTCCCGATCAGAACTTTGCCTTCAAGTGCTTAGGCATCATCATGCGGAAGTCCACAAAGAAAGATTTTGTCACCAAACATCTCGATCTCATCTTCACAACAGTCAAGCATGCTGACCAGGTGGAGAGAGAGGTAAGCTGGAGATTTGGTCTTTCCATAAGGTTTTTCTTCCTTGCTACTAGCTTTGTAGTGCTCCCTTGTGGTATCTCAGTATGATGCTGATCTTTGACTTGAGTGCATCTATCTGGAAAGATTCAGGATTTAGGTTTCTTCATTTGATCCTAGAAATGCAGCACTGGCATCTGCTGTAATGGGGAGGCTCCTCGTTGTTGCACACAAAAAGGGTAGGAGTTCAATTCTCATGTGGGGGAAAGGTTCTGTTGAATATCTCCATCATGCAGGGTGAGAAAGGCAATGATGATGATGCATATCTCCGTCATGAAGGGTGAGAAAGGCAATGATGATGATTGATATCTCCATCAGTCTGCTGACAGTCAAGGCCAAAGCAGCCTGCCTTCTAAAGATTAGTAAATTGCGTCTCTTGATTACTTGATTACTTGATCCTGGGAACAACAGCCTAGCACTCCGGGCATTGCCATACGTGCTCCGCTCCCTGCTCCAATATCCTTCTCAGAGTCCATCTGCTGATTGTTCCGGTGTTCATTTGGTTAATAGCCCGTCTTTCTATCCCCTTTACCATGCAATGGGGACATAAAACTTTTGCAGTCAATGAAGAATTCAACATACTTCTACCTCCTTTTTAATCTGTACTTCGCTATCGAGAGTGATTTTTTTCTGAAAGATACAAAGCTGCTATTAGTTAAAGGAGAGATGACTTTGGGTTCATGGTAAGCCCTATATTGCACAGGTCAATAACATTAATTCAGAACAATTAATTATCTGGGAAATGGGGATATATTTTTTTGCTTTTTTTTCTTGCCGAGCCGCATTTCCTTGGTACTTTTATAGTCAAACCTTATGGGTGGAATTGTCTTTGATTATTTAATTCTAAACTTGTCCTTTTCTGTTTGCATGCATTGATTTTGTTGTAGTCAACTGCTTGTAAAACAGAATTATGTATCTTTTCAATCTATTGCTTATTACATTGTAGATGCCCTTACTCTCAAACCCCTTTTATTTCAGTGCCATTCATTTGATGTAAGCAAAACATAGTCGTCGTTTTCATGTCTTCCTTCAAAAGTGTTAGTGGTAGTGGGCTGTGCAACTAATGTCTCGTAGAATAAAGTTATTTCTGTTGGCTTCGTGTGCACTACTTACATCTGTGGATGTTAAACTTGTGTTTCCTCGACATGCTAATAATTCATTTTCACAAAATAATGTCAGGATCACTGCAGGTGTGGACGGTGTCTCAAGTTGTTTTGGTGGCTTTTGCATTCAATACTGTTTTTCATTCTTCCTCTGTTTCAAACCTTAGAAAGAGTGCTTAGGAACTATCTTCCTATATTTTTAAGGAAGAGTTATTTTTTAGATACGGAAATTAAGTGGATCATTATTTGTTTGCTGTATTTAGAGCAATGTGGAAGGATAATAAAAGTTAACTCTTTATCTCTGAGGGGGGTAAACCCACTACTTTTTTTGGTGCTAAATCTAAAAATGACAAAAACATAATTAAATGGGTCATTAAATCGAAACTAGCATACCTCTATTGATAGTTGTTCATCTAATTAATGAACTTTCGGTATAAGAGACCTGTTTGAGGCAATAGCTGAAAAGTAACTTGATGTCGAAGTCAGCGTAAAGGAATGTGCCCGAGCCACTGTCAGCGGCTCACCAGCACAGTGGTTCAGACCGTGAGCCTTGCTGGAGATAAAGAGTTAAAGCATAGTAGAAGCAGAAGTTAATTTAGCTTTTGAACAATGCTTTCAAGATGCCTAGTAGATTTAAAAGTACAACCAAATCATATTTCAGTATTTTTAACCTCTCCTGGTTGCGTTATCTTGTGGGACAAATGTTTTCTTGCTTAACGTTGTAAGGGCTAATTGTGAAACACATAGAAGTGCAGGACAGTTGCTGCTAGGGGCTGACACTTAGATGGAAAGGATTCTTGGAAAGTTCTCCTCATTATCAAGTGTTTATGGGCAGGGTAGAAACATTGTGACTCCTAAATTGTGTAAGTTGTGTGGAAGGGGGAAGGGTTTTTAAATGGTCGCTTTTAAGCACAAGGGGGCTATCCTGAAAAATGCTGTTTTGAGAAATCCGAAAGGTAAAGTTTTTGCACCTTGTTCAGTTTCTTTAAAAGACAAGGAGAGTTTTCTCTATAACCAAACAAACATACACACCAATGAAACCACACTTCTCCTATAGGTAGGGCAATGCCCACTTTTGGTGTTAGTCAATATTTCTGGAAAACCCCGAAATCTGGGTTAGCCCGCTTGTTCTTAAAAACGACCAAATCATTTATACAGTTGGGCACGGATAACTCAAACACGCCGGGGAATGACCAATGTGTTCAACACGTCCATAATTTGGGTTAATCGATAATGAAAAATAGAAGAGGTGTCAGTCGCGGAATGGCAAATTGTGCAAGCTATCTGTGATTTCCAGTTTTTCTTGTTTGTGTTATCTGTGCCTGATTTTATTTCTACGTTCAATTTTACAAAACTATCACTTGACATTTCTCACTGAACTTTTCTAGGATGCTTGAAAAGAAATGTGAAGCCATCTAGAAAGGTCTCCATCAATTTCTGCTTCTAAAGCTCCAAGTTTAAGTTGTCCGGAGCATGTTTCTAGGTCTTTTACGTGATATCTTCAAGGAAAATATCTTTTGACTGCCTTGTCACTTAACTCAATACCCTGTAATGATTTCCATGTATTGATAGAATTGATTTATAAAAAATTAAATAGCTCGATTTTACTACTTTCCTAACATGTGCTTAGACTCAAGACGAAGAATGAACATAATCAATAAAAATAATAATAGATTGCATTTATATAGCGCTCTATCCCATTCTAGTGTAAGCTCTGAGCGCTTTACACAAATCACATAATCATTCACGCAAGAAAAAATATTTCACAGAAACAAGAAAAACCTGTTCAACCACATAAAGAAGAACTTTCTCAACCATACATTAACTATATACAAGAAAGGACAGTTTAAAAAAGGAATGTAGATTACCTCTGAAAAGGGTCCTACAAAATTCTATTCACTTTCCTAGCTGTTTAGATGAGAAACTCCTTTTTCTGTGTACGTTATCATGGCCAGCCTTGGCCACTGGGAATGACCACTCATCCTTTTTGGAAGAAGCTTCAGCCACTTGGAATGACCACTCATCCTTTTGGGAAGAAGCTTCAGCCGCTAGAAATGACCTTTCGGAGATACTGAGTTAAAGAGGTCTGACCAGCTGAGCATAGTATGACATCTGATGGTTTACCCTGATAAAAATAACTGACAGCCATGAATGTTCAACAAGTATTGAGTGTAGAAAGGCAACTGACCTTTGTTGACTCGGACTTATGAGATCCAGGCCAATGTCAATAACTTTGTGCTCTTCAGTTTTCATTTTTCTGGTGTGTGTTTTCGTCTGACTCAGAAAATGTGACTTTTATGGCCTGGGTATTGTGAGCTTTTTGTGTTCTGTCTGTATGGTATGATTAACTTTGATGTGTTTCTGATGCCCACTTTTGTGAAGAAAAGAAACCGGGCTGCCTATCATTTGACGTCAGCTGGATGCCCTTTTATGGTTTGATCCTTTGGTTTTTTTTCTCCGTTGCAAAGCATGGTGTACACAGTTGTAACCGCTTGCACTTTCCTGTTCCTGTTTCTCACTTCACTGTTATTTTACTGGAAGAGTTGCCTAAGTGAATAAATTTTCTGATGCATAGCTTTTTTTTTGGTTACTAATTGAAGGTTTTGTTTTTATGTAAGGTCCCCATTGAATTTACTTTTTTTGCATTTGTGAAAATTAGACTTTCAAGTATTTGGACAATCAGTTTCAGAAAAAAAATTCTCTTTGCTTGTTCCATGTGTATGAAGCCTTTCTCTTGTTTTGCCTTTTGGTCAGTTGTATAAGGCTTTTCATGCTTTGTTTCTTTTGTTCTCGCGGAAACTAAAAGTAAGACCATGTAAAGTGAGTGGCTTTTTTTTCTTCAGTTGAACCAGTATTGTTACCGTGTAGATATCTGTGAATGCATTTGCCAATCCTAAAGGGGTGGGTGGGTGGAGAAGGGGGAGGGGGGGGGGGACTTCTCAGGGCTCAAAAGGTTTTTTATCTTATATTTTATGGAAGTTATAAGAAGAGAAAATGTTTGTTTTTCTGTCTGCTTTTTTATAACAACAGTATTCAACAGGTACTTGTTTTAGATATCTATTTAAAAAAATAGCTATGCAGGGTTTAGTAATATCTTTTTTATATTCGTGACAAACCTGCAGCATTTATTCCTGAAGGGAAGGAACAAGAAGGGAATTTTTAAAACTTGTGATGTCTTTGGAGTTTAATTTGTTTGGCCCTCTGACAATTCCATTTTGTTCTGGTTTGCTTCATGCTTCAAAGCTGAATCATGCGTACTCAGACACAGTTAGCTAGGACTGTCTGAAGTGCTCAAATATATCATTTTAGTTTGGGCTTTGTTTTGCTGTTATTTTGTCTTTTTCTTTCTTTCTTTCTTTCTTTTTCTTGTTCATCTGGCAGCTAGTTCATCCTTCATGTATTTTGTAGTCCTCTCTAATGCTTCTAAAGTAAGCATATGTGCACATATCAAATTCATATACACACCTGTTGTGCTAATAAGGAATGAGAAACATTTACTACTTGTTTGTGGTGTATTGGTGATGATTTCTACCATTGGTGAAGGTGAGGATTGCATCAAGGCAATTTTTGAAGTTAAATCTATTGAGTGTAAGTTGCCTGTATTCATGTTGTATTTCACATTTTTTTATATGCCTATGCCATAATATAACCATGAGTGAAGTTAAAGTTAAATTCATGGAGATTTTCTTCTTTTTCTCCTTTGAGGTTCGATTTAATGAATACTCTAAACGATTAGTGACTTGTTCACTCACTGAGATTTTAATGCAGAGCCACTAGCAATGTGTCTACTTTTAGAAATGTTTGATAAATAACTGCTTCTTTCTTTTGAATGACGTTACGTTTGTGATATGCCGTTGTCTTCTAAACATGAAAAGAGTTAAGTAATGCAGGCATGTGACTTACTAAAACGACACTTTTAGATAAATCTTGTGCCGCATATGGACATTTCAAATTAATTATTAAGCTTTGCTATGTTCTCTTACTTACATTGGCCATTCATTCCATCTCCATAGTAACTAAAGGGCATGCATAAATCATGATTGCTGGTAGTATTTGGTTTTTAATCAATTGATTCATCGATTTATGATCTTGGGTTCTTGTTGGTCTTGAAACTGAAAAACGTTTTGTGCTAAATGCTTGTGCCAGGTGCTCTCTGTTAGTTATGGTCTATGAAGACTTGTTTATGCTTTTAATAATGCAGTGGATTAAATTACACTAAAATCGATTTTCTTAAAATGATTGTTCAGAAACATCCAAATAAAAGTATAATACAATACAAAAGAGCTGAGCTGAACTTTTTTTTTTTTATTTGCTAATTTTTAATCATGAATAGGAGCCATTCTGAGGCAAATTATTCTGTAAGAAACAGCAACTTATGTTCTTAAAGATATCTAGGATTTTTCTGAATTAGCTGCTTAAAGTAAAGTGAAGATTGCACTAAAAGTGGTCTTCTTTTCTTAAGCTATTGTGATGCATTTGAATGAGCCTTTGGGAGTCTATACTTTAAATTAACACGTCTGTAGAAGAGACTGGTACTTTTTAATTCTCCCATATGAGTCTGTGAGTTTACTGTCTGATGATATAGATAGTTCTTTATAGTTTGTATGTATCTCTCTTCTATATATATTAATACTTTCCTCACAGTTTGTGGATCATATGAGGCCCCACTGGGAAGTCCTACTTCTTGTCTGTCCCCAGTTGTTACTTTCTGTTTATCCCTCTTTTTTTCTGCCTTAAATACTTGTCGTGGTATTGATCTGCTTCTCTTTATCAACTCAAACAATCTTCTCTGTTTGTTCTTTATCCATATTGACCTTTGTTGATGGTATATACAAATTTTTCTGTTGTAAAGGGCTGTGCGATTGCTATAGGCTATACAGCATCTTCGCATTTGGACACAGTGCTGACAAAACTGGAGTCCGTTGCGAAAAATGACATGAACAAAAAGTCCGGCGGCCTCTTGAGCATACTTAATAAGGTACGTGTAAATGTTGCAGGTGTGACCATGGCACAGTAGGGCATATAAAGTATAATATTCAACGACAAACACATCTGGTCGGGGTAGGCAGTTTAATAATTAACAACTGGCGCATACTCTGTTCATGTGTTCTGCTCGGAAGAGACACTGACCACATGGTCTCGGGCTTATATACTGCTCACAACACTGACATAGGAAAGGACGAAGACAATCCCAACAGTTACGGGTGGTCTCTAAGAATAATGGACGAGGACAACTGGACACTGACTTATTGGGTTAATTCCCTTAAACATGTTTGACAGTGACAACGCTACATGAAGGGATCAAGTGACTACAACAAACTCTTCGAGCCTGGCGCAGAACAGAACTGCGCCAGGTTACCGGAACAGATAATTTTCACCGTCGCATTATTGCGTCAAGTGACCTCAAAGTGGTAATTGGAAAAGCTTGTAGCTTCATAACTTCATTTCTGTTTGGACTAATGATTCAGTGTTATAGTTAGCTGAATGAGAAATAGAATATTAGTAATCAACCAACAGTTGATGAGAAATGTAATTATGAGTCTACAAGCTCGTAAAATTGATACCCTCATGAATTACAGTTTGTGATAATACCTGTTGTATCGGTGAATCTTTCATATTTGTTTACAACTACTGTCGAAACTGTCTAAGACAGCCACCCATTGTCTGGGAGCAAAGTGGCCATCTGAGATGGGTGGCTGAATTACACAGTGTCCTGATTAATATAAGAAATATGCATGGGAGGAAATGGGAAGTGGCAGTTTGTACAGTTTGTCTTATACAGATGGAAGTCCGTCACTTTGGCTGCCTAAAACTTTCGAACCACTATACTTTCGAATTTGACAAAATTAATGTTGGTTCAGGATGAGTTAAAGGGTGCACAGTTTTATTTAGGAGCCTGGAGTCACTGTAGTTTAATTTTCAGTTTTTCATTAGTTTCGTTTAGATCTAATCTTGAGAAATCTGTCTTCTAAAATGCCATTGTAAACAAGTGAAGTTTCCGTTCACTAGCTGTGCGAAAAGATTCCAACCACACCTTTGAAATTCTGGAGTGTATAACCACGAAAACGGAATAGAGAATCAATCTATACATCTCTATACCTAGACCTTCTAATTTTTGGCATCTCTCAAGATTTTTCGCTCCATTCCAGTAGAGTGTAAATATAGTAGGCCAATGACTTTCAGTTGATGTTAATGCACCGATCATTCCTTTCATCAAAAGGAGGCCCAGCAAGTATTTATATGATTCTACTGTGGTGGGGGCTCAGTAGCTTGTATAACTGAACTGTGGGATGAAGATCTTTTACCCCCACCAGGGCAGTGCCACTGACTGAAGTGTCTTTAGGCCATTCCCAAAGGGGGGATATTAACATTTTCTTCTGCACAGTGGAATTGTAAATGGGCTGATTTATCGATGTCATGCTTATACTGTGCCGGAACAACATAGGGGTAACTGCTGCTTTTTATTTCCTCATCCTTACTGTCGCCATTTTCCCTCTACTTCTTTTGTATGTTTGTTTCTCTCTTGTGACCCGCTATTTCCAGGGTGCCTTGATAGTTGAGGCAGACTTTGTGCTGTTGAGGCTAGAGAGGTGAGCAGGTAAGTCTGATTCCCTGTAAGGACTTCTCTGTTGACATCCACCCTTTGGCACTCATATGACCTTATGCAGTTGCAAGCGCTATAAAACCTTACTGAAACAAACAAACAAGAAGATCTTTTAGTGTATTCTTTACGAATATTTCTATTATCCTGGCTTGCTATTATTGATGTTGTTTTCATTATGATAATTTTGTTTCGCAGGATAAGACGGAAGTGAATACAGAACAGGTCAAGGCCACCCTCATGCTGTGCTACGGCTTTGTGGCTCTCTATTCCCCTCCCTCCCTCATCATTTCTCGCATGGAAGCCACCATACTGCGCACCATCTCGCCCTACTTTGTCAATGTCAAGGTATGAATGCACTGATATCATCGACGATTTATTTTATTGTATATTCTAGCAACTTATTTCATTGATATTCTGAATTATATTTGTAAAGGGATAAGTTATCTAGCAACCATTACAATCAGTGAATGCACTGATATCATAGACGATTTGGTCGCTTTTAAGGACAAACAGGCTGACCCAGTAAATCTGCTGTTTTCAAGGACTCTTGAGCTACGGAAATCACGAGACTGGCGGCAATTTTCTCGCTAATTTTACTTCTGAAACCACGCGACTCCACCTCTTCCAATCGCAAATATCTCAACTTCTTTTCAAGATAAATGGATATTTTTTACACTGAAAGCAAGACAAATGAACAGCCTTTAAGATGATACCAATAACTCCATATGCCCAAAAACTGACTAGTGCCTGATTCCACCGTGACATGAAACAAATATTTTTTTGCTCGTGAGTTCTGAGAGCCGGGGTATTTTGTGTGCTCTCCCAGGACACGAGTGTCAAGCAGAACCTGATCCGCTGCGCTGACCTCCTGGCTCAGTCTCTGCACCGGGACCACCTGGAACAGGACTACAACTTCTCCACACGGGGGGAGTTCTTGGTCCACATGCAGGTCAGACGTTTACTGTGTGCGTGTTGTGTTCATTTACTTGTCTGTCTGTCGGTCTGTCTGTTAGTCTGTCTGTCTGTCTGTCTGTCGGTCGGTCCGGTCTGTCGTTGGGTCAGTCGGTCGGTCGGTCGGTCGGTATTTCTCTCTCTCTCTCTCTCTCTCTCTCTCTCTCTCTCTCTCTCTCTCTCTCTCTCTCTCTCTCTCTCTGTGTGTCTCTCTCTCTCTCTCTCTCTCACTCTATCTCTCCCTCCCTCCCTCCCTCTCTCTCTCTCTCTCTCTCTCTCTCTCTCCCCTCTCTCTCTCTCTCTCTCTCTCTCTCTCTCTCTCTCTCTCTCTCCCTCTCTCTCTCCCTCTCTTTCTCCCCCCCTACTATTTATTACCTATGTATGCATGCAAAGCTTAAGAAATTAAAAGTGTGATGCTCATTAAACTTCTTGTCCATGGTCACATCTGTGTTTGCAAAGAATAAAATATCAAGAGAAGGAGAAAAGGATCTTGTGCACCAGATGCTAAAATACAAATTCAATAGTTACTCATTGGTCTGAAGGAGTGGGCCATGTCATCAAACACAATCTCCCTGCTTCCCAATCTTTAAATTTCGTGTGTGGGTGGTTGGCGGGTACTCTGGTGTAGTTTGCTTCTTGCTCCTTCTTTCCTACCAAACATCTATCGTCCTGATCTCTCCTCCTTTTTTAAGTTTGTTACTCTCTTGTAATACCTATAATCTTTTGGCGCTCCTATGACCTTATGCAGTTACTAGCGTCGTAAAACCTTTACTAAAACTAAACCAAATTTCTTGTGCTCTTCCTTTTATTGTTTCAGTCCATTGTCAAACTAAACATTTCATGAAGTAGTGCGTAGTTTTTTATTTTCTTTTATATTGAAAAATTATCTATTACTCCTCTTCCTATTTAAGTAGTAGATGCGTAAAGAGAGGTCTGTAAAGAAATGCATCAGGTCAAAATGTTGTTAAAAAAAAAAAGAAGCAGATCAATAAGATTAATAAGAAACGATGTAAAATAACAAAGCATTCACTGAGCTATTGGAGCAAGGTGCTTTTTATTTTGGTGATTTAGATTTCTTCTGTTTTGTCTTCTTTTTTCCTCAGAACTACATGAAGGCTGAACCTGCATCTTACATAGCCACAGAGACGCGCACTTTAGCCATGAACACGTGTGCCAATTTGATGTATCCTTGCATACCTATATTTTTATTTGCCCATTAAAATACGAGGAGTATTCTTTCTCTTCCCTTCTTCGCATCCCCCTTTTGCCCTATGACTTTTGTTTCTGTTTAGGAATTGCTGCACAACACTGATATTTCCCTTACTGTTGATGTTGATGTGAGCTTGCTAGGTACTCACAAAACTTTGGTGGATTGGAGGACATAGTGAAATTGGTTGTCCACTTTTGAGATATTTGTTTTAGTATTGAGATATTATTAGTCTTTATCAGTAATTATTATCCATTATCATCAGGAAATATCAACATATCTAAAAATCCATGTGGGTGGTTGGTGGGTTCTCTGGTGTGATCTGCTTGCTCCTGCTTTCCCACAAACATCTTTACACCCACCCCCCCACCCCCCGGGGCGGTGCTACTGACTGAAGTCTCTTCAGGCCATTCCCAAAGGGGGGACATTAACATGTTCTTATGCTCAGTAAAATTGTAAATGGGCCGATTGATCAATGCAATGCTCATAACTGTGCCTGAACTGCAACGGGAAACTGCTGCTTTTTCATTCCTAATCCTTACTGTCGTCATTTTTCCTCTACTTCTTTTGTATGTTTGTCACACTCTTGTGACCCGCTATTTCCGGGGTGCCTTGATAGTCGAAGCCGACTTTGTGCTGTTGAAGCTAGAGAGGTGAGCAGAGTAAGCCTGATTCTCTGTATGGACTTGTCTGTTTACATCCACCCCTTGGGGCTCATATGACCTTATGCAGTTGCGAGGGCCATTAAAACTCTACTAAAACTTAAACTAAACAAACATCTTGTCATCATTATCTTTCCTTTCTTTGTGTTTGTTAGTCTCTTGTAATATCTCTAATCTTCAGCACTTACATGACCTTACTGTGTTGTAAGTGCTGTAAAACTCTTCCTAAAACTAAGCTAAAAATAAAATCCAAGCTGTTTTCCAGTGGGTGGTTGGCGGGTGCTCTAGTGTGGTTTGCTTCTTCTTTCCTATCAAACATCTATCATCCTTGTCTCCCCTTCTTCTTTTTTATGTTTGTTACTCTCTTGTAACGACGCCTCTAATCTTCTGGTGCTCCTTTGACCTTATGCAGTTGCGAGCGCCGTAAAACCTCTACTAAAACTAACTGTAATCTTCAGCACTTATATGACCTTACTGTGTTGTAAGTGCCATAAAACTCTCACTAAAACTAAGCGACAAAAGAAAATCCAAACTGTTTTCCGTAACTGGAACTGAGCAAACTTCAGCCGAAGCTGACAGAGGCAGAGGTGTTTGACCTGGTTCAGGTGTGCACGGACTGTCTCTTCTCACTGACCACCAACAGCCTGCTGCCCCGCAAGAACAAAGAGGAGAGCGTGGAGGAGGCGACCGAGGTGACGGCCATGATCGCAGTGGCCTTCACTTCTTACTACGACGTGTTGAAGGAAATCATCAGGAAAGACTGTACACCTGGGGGGCTGGAGAGTATTTTCAAGGTCAGTTGTTTTCTACGGCTAGAAGTACTGTTTTTTATCTACTGTTAGAAGTACAGTGGAGTCTGCTTAACCCTATCGGTACCCCCTAGGGTCATTTTGTACCCCCCCGGGGTTGGCGGGTGCTCTGGTGTGGTTTGCTCCATCTTTCCTATCAAACATCTATCGTCCTTATCTCCCCTTCTTCTTTTTTATGTTTGTTACTCTCTTGTAACACCTCTGATCTTCTGGCGCTCATATGACCTTATGCAGTTGTGAGCGCCGTAAAACCTCTACTCAAACTAAAACTGGTATCTTTATTTTTATTTTGATGAAATCATGTCGTCTCTTGCATGTGGTTAGGGGGTTCTGCTAGTAGGTTCTTCTCCTTTTATGCCTTCTGTTGTTGCTGTCTGTCGATCACACTTTTCTCTCCTTGCACTATATTATGCTTATTGTGCTTATGGTTTTTTCTTTACTCAAACATGCAGTATTCCTTGGAGGCTGTTTTGTTTTTCCCTAGCTTTGTTTTTCAAGTATACCTTTACTTCTCTCAATTGCTTCTTGGTTTTTTTTCTGAGTCTAGTAAGGAGTAAATACTTACTTCTAAGTTTGAAGTTCTCTTCAGCTCTTTTTTTAAACATTCCATTTCCAGCACCTGACCCCTTGGATGTTGTCACCCTCAGAAGTTGAGAGGGAAAGAGCTCTGAGAACCTGGAAAGTGATACAACAGTTTTACCTGGAGAATATGGAAGTAAAGGTGGGAAGATTGAAAGAGGGGGCAGTGGAGGGAGAGAGAAAAAGGGAGATGAAAAAAGACTGAGAGAAAGAGAGAGAGAGAGAGAGAAGAGTGAGAGAGAAAGACAGAGAGAGAGAGAGGGAAAGAGAGAGAGAGAGAAAGAGAGAGAGAGAGGCGAAGAGAGAGAGAGGGAAAGAGAGAGAGAGAGAGAGACATAGAGAGAGAAGCAGAGAGAGAGAGACAGAGAGAGAGAGGGGGAGAGAGAGAGAGTTCGATAGCTCAAATGAGGAACATGATATAAATGAAGAATTGAGTTTTGAATTTTGCTATTTTGTTATATTTTGACGTAATTATCTTTGGAAAATAAGAATTTCATTTCCTCAAAGGTGGAGTCCAACTTTGACAGCGAAGGCATTTTCCTTGGGCGTCTGATTCCCCGTTGTACCGATCCCATTTTGATCATAAGGCAGTTGGGGATAGACAACATTCATCTCACTCTGAAAATTGCTCTCAGATCCGAAGGTATGTTATTTGAAATTATATTTCAATGCGTTATTTGAGCAAATATGTTTTGCATTTTTATTTAGTTTTTTTTTTTAAGGAGAGTGAAATGTAGTCAGAAAAGCTCTAAAATCTGTCTCATTTAAATGATTTGGAAACACAGGGAATATTGTTACAAGAAAACAAAAAAATACCTCAGCTAAAACAAAAAGCCCCTTAAAAATCTACTCAAGATATACTTTATGCGTTTGTACGTTGCCATCAGTTTGGGTCGTGAGAAAATGGTGCAGTCTCAATTGTCATTTGTAATGCTCTAGTCTTGTTTTAGTTGCTGGTTAACTTAAGATGAGTAATTAATCTGGTACTTATTCATGATTGTAATGATTTGTTCACAACATCATTTGCTACATTTTGAATAAATAGTGGGTTGAAAAAAATACACATTTTGATTGCACTTTTTAATTTCACTAGCTATTGCCCCCTCCCCAGGTAATCCTCCTGACTTCAAAGACAGTATGATTGACGCTCTTCCAACTTTGAAAGATAGACTAAAGAAAAGTGACCCCAACCTTATGTTCAGTGCCATCAACGATGTTTCAAAGGTAAGATCCAGGTTTTAGATCCTGAGCATTTGTTGAATTGTTTGAGTAAGGTAAACATTTTTTTTTTAATAGGTTCAAGAATGTGGGTAATACTGTCTGTCAGTACCCAGCCATAGACAGCGAAGGATCTTGTCAGTATGTTAGTCTTTAAGTGCCTATTAATGGCTGCTTGCACTGTATACTTCCTAGGAAGTTGAGGTTGTTTCAGAATGCTCTCAGGTCTGCTGGGGTAATAGTATAGATTGTGAAGCACATGGAGCTTGCTGTTGAGCGGGGATTTGCACTCTACAAATGATAATATATTCTATTATTATTATTATCTGTGTACTGTGAGGTCTGTTTTAGACATTAAATTTTCCTAAATACCTCAGGCAAAGTGCTAATCTCAGTGACGATGAGACAAGTATTTATTTACAAGATTTACGTCGGAACTGGCATGGGCAAAGCACAGGAAGGAGAATACAAGATGTTCACTTCTCAAGACATTGCCACTACCTCTAGTGTAATAATATTACTATTTCATGCACTGTATAGTCAGTGGGAAGTGATTATCTTTGTTCTTTTGCATGGATACCACGCTGATGTGATTATATGATTTTCAATGAATATCTGTTGGATGAGAATGGGGAACTGCTCACAATTTCACTTGCTCACCTTCTTATGAGAATTTGTATAAGTTTTCGTTAACATACACTTTAGTTCGTAGGTGGTGGGCGGGTGCTCTGGTGTGGTTTGCTTCTTCTTTCCAATAAAACATCTATCGCCTTTATCTTCCGTCTTTCTTTTTTGTGTTTGTTACTCTCTTGTAACACCTCTAATCTTCGGCACTTATATAACCTTATTGTGTTGCAAGTGCAGTAAAACCTCTACTAAAACCAAAAAAAAACACACTTTAGTTCCCTTTGATATCAAAACAATTAAATATTGACGTTTATGTTCATTGTATGTCTGTATTAGGAGCAAAGGTTTGTAAAAGAAATCAGAAGTAGATTTGAGCACATTTGGAGTTTTTAAAAAGAAAATTATTTGATTTGGTTGATAAAAAAGTGAGTGTCTGTTTGCACTGTACTTTTTCTTCATAGGGGGCTCCAGTGGCTAAGTGAGCAGTGAGCTCAGACTAAAAGTAATGTCAAGCAAGTGTCGGTGACACGGGGATCAGATGGGTGGTCACTGGGGTGTGTCCTTGAGCAAGACATGACAACCCAAGCTCAAAATACAGGGCACTGCACAGTGGCAACCGACAATGGCATGTGATTGTAAATTGTTCTGTACTGGTGTAATATTGTGTATTTATGTATGTATCTGTGCATGTGTTTATGCATGTATGTATTTGTATTTATGTATTGATGTATTATGTGTGTATTATGTATGTATGTATTGTAAACCAAATTGCCCTTCAGGGATAAATAAAAGTGTAATTTATTTATTATTTATTTATTTTATGTAAGGTGATCTCCAAGAAGCTCCCCGCTGACCACCTGGTCCCGTTCATCGAGACATTACAGCAGGGTCTGCTGGACAACCAATCGCACAGTTCCTCCGGGGCCTGTGTCGTGCTAAATGGGATCATGAAGAATCGCGGTCTGGACATTAGACATAAGGTGAATCATATGACAATTGGTCGCTTTTAAGCACAAGGGGGCTATCCCGAAAAATGCCATTTTGAGAAAATCGAAGGTAAAGTTTTTGCCCCTTATTCAGTTTCTTTAAAAGACAAGGAACGTTTTCTCTTTAACCAAACAAATATACACACCAATGAAACCAAACTTGTCCTATAGGTTGGGCAATGCTCACTTTTGGTATAGGTCAATATTTCTGGTAACCACCGAAATCTGGGTTAGCCCGCTTGTCCTTAAAAGTGACCAATTGAAAGAATTACTTACTTTTGAAGGATGCTAAGAGTTTTGTTTTCAAGTCAAAGCTGATTGTAGCGTCGGTGGCCTAGTGGTAAGGCTCTCAGACTTGCAACCATGAGGCGATAGGTTCGAATCTCCTCAGAGACCCAATGTTGTGTCTTTTGGAAAGGCACTTTACAGGAATTGTTCTCACTTCACCCAGGTGGGAATGGGCACCCGACTATAGACAGCGAAAGATCTTGTCAGTTTGCTAGTGTTTGAGACCGCCCGGGGCAGTACTACTGACTGAAGTGTCTTTAGGCCATTCCCAAAGGGGGGAACATTAACCATGTTCTTATGCACAGTAGAATTGTAATTGTAAATGGGCTGATTCATCAATGTCATGCTCATAACTATGCCTGAACTGCAACAGGGAACTACTGCTTTTTCTTTCCTCATCCTTATTATTGTCATTTTTTCCTCTACTTTTTTTGTATGTTTGTCACTCTCTTGTGACCCGCTATTACCGGGGTGCCTTGATAGTCGAAGCAGACTTTGTGCTGTTGAAGCTAGAGAGGTGAGCAGAGTAAGCCCGATTCCCTGTATGAACTTCTCTGTTGACATCCACCCCTCGGCGCTCACATGACCTTATGCAGTTGCGAGCGCCGTAAAACGCCTATTAAAGCTAAGCAGGGTATTTGTCTATTTATCACTTGTCTCGTACCGTGAAATATGTTTTTTACTGCTTAGATTTAGTTGATTATTATTATTTTTCTTCTGTGGTTCATGTTCTCAGGTTGAGTCATTTTTGGCTTCTCTCTACGAGCGCCTGTGTCAGATTCAGTGCCCTCAGACCAAGACAGGAACCCTCCGCACGCTGCGCACCATGGCCGGCCACCACCTGGTGCCTTTTGTCTCCTCGCTGCTCACGTACCCGCTGCCGTACGAAGAGTAAGTCTGTCACTTTAAGAAGTGCTCACGTACCCTATGAAGAGTAAGTCTATCGCTTTAGGAAGTGTTCACGTACCCTATGAAGAGTAAATCTATCGCTTTAGGGAGTGCTCATATACCCTATGAAGAGTAAGTCTATCGCTTTAGGAAGTGTTCACATACCCTCTGCCCTATGAAGAGTAAGTCTATCACTTTAGGAAGTGTTCACATACCCTCTGCCCTATGAAGAGTAAGGAAGATGATGAGTTCTTTGTTTGTGTTGAAGAGTAATGAATGGGTGGTTGGCGGGTGCTCTGGGGTGGTTTGCTTCTTCTTTCCTATCGAACTTCCATCGTCTTTATCCCCCCTACTTCTGTTTATGTTTTGTACTCTTTTGTAACGCCTCTAGTCTTCGGCACTTATATGACCTTATTGTGTTGCAAGTGCTGTAAAACACTTACTAAGAGTAAGACTAATACCTTACGAAAAATGTTACATACTATTGTTGAAGAATGAAATATGTTTTTTTGTCGGTTAAGTATTATAATCCTTCTTTTAGTCTGAAGGCATATTATCAGCTTTTTCCATGAAATGCTTCATTTACACAAGTAGACCCAAAAAAATCTTTGTTGCCAATAATTGCAGATGTTGCGTTGAAATTTACGATCCTTGTTATAAACCATTTATATTTTGGTTCTTCATAAACTGCATAAATACTCTAGACCCCGTGGGTGGTGGGCGGGTGCTCTGGTGTAGTTTGCTTCTTCTTTCCAATCAAACATCTATCGTCCTTATCTCCCCTCCTTTTTTAATGTTTTTAACTCTCTTGTGACACCTCTATTCTTCTGGCGCTCATATGACCTTATGCAGAGTTGCGAGCGCCGTAAAACCTCTACTAAAACAAACAACTCTAGACACCAATCTTTTTTAAAGTTTTTATTTTGGTGTGTGTGTCTTGTTGTCAGTGCTTTGTATGGGATTTGTTTGTACACTGCTTTTTGGGTGTTGTAATATAAGTTTTAGTCCTTGAATGGGCTTCTCTAATCCTGAATTTTGTCGAGAGTGATAAAGGCTGTGCACCGCATCTTGTTCGTTCACTCTTTGGACTCACCTAAAAGTATATACTTTGTGGGTGGTTGGCGGGTGCTCTGGTATGGTTTGCTTCTTCTTTCCTATCAAACATCTATCGTCTCTATCTCCCCTTCTTCTTTTTTATGTTTGTCACTCTCTTGTAACACCTCGGCATTTATATGACCTTATTGTGTTGCAAGTGCCGTAAAACACTTACTAAAACTAAACCAAACTGTCCAGGAAGACCTCTAATCTTTGGCACTTATATGATCTATTTGTGTTGCGTGTATTGTGCCGATGTGCTTAATTTTACTCAAACTAAAGCTTCTCCGTGGGTGGTTGGCGGGTGCTCTTGTGTGGTTTGCTTCTTTTTTCTTATCAAACATCTATCGTCCCTATCTCCCCTCCTTCTTTTTTTATGTTTGTTACTTTCTTGTAACACCTCTAATCTTCAGCACTTATATGACCTTATGCAGTTGCGAGCGCCGTAAAATCTCTACTAAAACAAACAACTACTTTTATCTGAATCCAACTGTCTAATAAGACCTCTTATCTTCGGCACTTACATGACCTTACTGTGTTGCAAGTGCCGTAAAACTCTTACTAAAACAATAAGCTTCTCCTTCATCAGGCATGTGGTGGAGATCTGGGAGATATTGGCCCAAGACTCCATGCTGTGTTCCCTGATGCTGGACCATTTCCTGGAGCTGTTGGTCAAGTCCCTTCCCTACGAGGAGAAACCAGACCCCAGGGACAAGGAGAAGACGGTCAAGACGTCCACGACTGTGCCTTTAGCTGTAAGTTATGCCCTCACTAATTCCCTCCGTGCTGCCCACTGTTGTGTAAACACTCCGTGCTGACCTGGGATTTTGTCTCAATAGCCATGCTGTGGGTGGTTGGCGGGTGCTCTGATGTGGTTTGCTTCTTCTTTCCTATAAAAAAATCTATCGTCCTTATCTCCCCTCCTTCTGTTTTATGTTTGTTATTCTCTTGTAACATCTCTAATCTTCTGGCGCTCATATGACCTTATGCAGTTGCGAGCGCCGTAAAACCTCTACTAAAATAAACAATAGCCATGCGTGCCGGTCATTGTTTCAACTTTTCTGGAAAAAAATTTTTTTTCTGCTTGTGAATGTAGTGTGGCTGTGAAATATGCCATGTTTCATTTCCTGTGGGTGTGTAGTTTATACTGTTATTGTATTAGCTACATGTGTCATGATGCAGTGATATCAGGCGCTCGTCAATTTTTGGGCATATAGAGTTATTGGTGTCGTCTTAGAGGTTGTTCATTTGCCTTGCTTTCGATGAAAAAATATCCATTTATCCTGAATAGAATTCGAGATTTTGGGAATGAATAAGGTAGGGGTCACCTGGTTTCAGAGGTAAAATTATCCAGAGAATGGCCGCAAAAGTTTGGTGACTTCCATAGCTTAAGAGTCCTTGGAGACTGCAAATTGACATCTTTTGTGCCTTTACTGAAGGTTTTTCCTTAAAATCCACACTTAAAAGTGTTTTTGAATGGACATACAAGGTGTTGGAGCAAAAAACAAAAATTTGAAAAAAACAACTTCAAACTGGCCGAAAAGTGCAGATTTCTTTGATTTCATTATTTTGAGGAGCGCCTGATTCCACCACGCTGCCTCACATATGTTCAACATTTTAAAATGTTTTTTTCAGGTGACCTTTGCCCTCACTGAGCTGTTCAAAGTAGAAGAGACGTATGACTGTGTCAGCAAAATCTTCCCTCGTTTGTTTGCCGCTCTGGTGGTCAGAGTCGGATCCTCTGTGTCAGTGAATCCCCCAAAAAGCGTAAGTTCTACGTTGTAGTGTTACCCACAACTTTTTCTCTTCCCCACCCCCCCCCCAACCAAATTTGTGATGTGGTTTTTTAACTTTCGGTCATCTTGACTCTTCTCTCATTTTAGCAACAGAAATACAAAATTGTTGCTTTCCCCAGAGGTGATTCTCTTTGTTCATTCCATATATATGCCCTCTGCTTGTCCATATAGTTATTATGTGATGTGTTAGGGGTAAGAGCTTGGCGCTCATACGACCTTATGCAGTTGCGAGGGCCGTAAAAGCTCTACTAAAAAAAAAAAGAGTAAGAGAAAGGCTGAGTGAAGGAATGCAAGGGGGAGAAAAAAGAATATATAGAGAACATGAGAAAGGAGAGGCTACAGTGCTTTTATATGTTGCTTTGTAATTGTACTTTGTATTGCAGAAAATTTCTTCCAAAGGAGGATCAATAAGGCATAAATAGCCTTAACTTCTCTTATTTTATTTTAATTTCTGATCTTTTCTTAATTTCTTATCTATACCTGCCAACTTTCTTTCTCCAGCTCTCTCTCACTTTTGACTGAATTTTCAGTGAAAGAAAATTTGCCCAGGATTATCCCTTACTTTTATTTTAACTTCATTTTCTGACCAACGACGGAGTACTACAAGCACAAATTCTTTAAAAAAAAATTTTTGTAAGTGTTTTCCAGCGCTCGCAACTGCATAAGGTCATATGAGTGTGCGGGACACAATAAACATTTTTCAGTTGGTAAGAAATTTTGAATTTTGCCCGGGTGGCGGCCGAAACCTACTCTTATCGATTTTAGAGCTCCAAGAGATCTTTAACGTGCGCAACTTGTACCCGGGACATCCGAGATTTTTCGCCCTTGTCTGAGAAGGCTAGGTGTAGATCTTTCCTTCCAGAAGATCAGGGGTGTGGCTGAAAGACAGCAGTAAGGAGGAACCAAGGAGTAGCAGTAGAAAGGCAGTAAAAAGAGTTGGCAGGAAAGGAGGTGAAAGGAGACGATTTTAGAGAATAAATTTTTTCGGTCGCAACCCGGATTTGAACCGTGGACCTTTGAATGAGAGGCGAACACCTCTAGGCCACAAGGGACCCCACTTACATTCTAGCTACATTTTCTGACCAGTGACAGAATCCTACAAGCACACTTTCTGACTACATTATCTGACCAGTGACGGAATCCTACAAGCACACTTTCTGACTACATTATCTGACCAATGACGGAATACTACAAGACTACACTTCTCACTGTGGCTCTGCCTTTGCCCATCCGTACATGCCAGCCCCTGCTTATGTCTAAAGACTTGAAGCTTTTGAATAATGTTGTCATTTATCACCCTGCTTATGTCTAAAGACTTGAAGCTTTTGAACCATCTTGTCATTTATCACCCTCCTTATGTCTAAAGACTTAAAGCTTTTGAACAATGTTGTCTTTTATCACCTTGCTTATGTATAAAGACTCGAAGCTTTTGAACAATGTTGTCATTTATCACTCTATAATTCTTTTTTTGTCTTGTGTATTCTATCTCTAGAAACATGAACCAGAGGAAGTGAAACAAGACAAAAAGAAAAAGGCAGTTGTGACCAAAGAGCCCAAGAAGATAAGTCCCATACAGTAAGTGCAGTTTGAACTTGTCCATTCTTTGTTTTGTTTTAGTAAGAGTTTTACGGCTCTTGCAACTCAATAAGGTCATGTAAGTGCCGAAGAATAGAGGTGTTACAAGAGAGTAATAAACATAAAAAAAGGAGGAGGGGAGATAGAGACGATAGATGTTTGATAGGAAAGAAGAAGCAAACCATACTAGAGCACCCGGCGACCACCCGCTTATCCACTTCTATTTATATTCATCTACTTTTTCTTGAGCTTTTCTTCTAAATAGATGTTTGATAGGAAAGAAGAAGCAAACCATACTAGAGCACCCGGCGACCACCCGCTTATCCACTTCTATTTATATTCATCTACTTTTTCTTGAGCTTTTCTTCTAAATACTGGCATTTAGAATGCATTTTCCAAAATCACAGAGAAAGTCCTTACTGATCATCCAAATTGAAATTAACCTAATGAAATTAACCTCCCGGAGCAGTGCTACTGACTGAAGTGTCTTTAGGCCATTCCCAAAGGTAGGGACATTAACATCTCGAGTTCTTGTGCACAGTAGAATTGTAATTGTAAATGGGCAGATTTATCAATGTCATGCTCATAACTGTGTCTGAAATGCAACAGGGAACTGCTGCTTTTTTTCCCCTAATCCTTGCTATAGTCATTTTTCCTCTACTTCTTTTGTATGTTTGTCACACTTTTGTGAACTGCTATTTCCGTGGTGCCTTGATAGTTGAAGCAGACTTTGTGCTGTTGAAGCTGGAGAGGTGAGCAGAGTAAGTCTGATTCCCTGTAAGAACTTTTCTGTTGACATCCACCCCTTGGCACTCATATGACCTTATGCAGTTGCGAGCGCCGTAAAACCTCTACTAAAACTAAAACAAAATAAAATTTTTGTTTCCATGAGGAGGGAGCGTCTCAAATTAGACACAAAAATCAGGTTCCATCTCACACCTGTGTTTATTCTTTGGCTGTCTTTTTAGAAATAAGGCAAATCTCACCCTGCTGGAAAGTATCCTCTTTTGAATGTTGGAATAGTGAAATGCTGATAAGCGCAGATATGATAAATGTCTTTATGTAAGTTTCTAATGGTCACTTCAGCTTTCTTGTGGTGTCAACTCCTTCTTTTTCTTTTTATTGAATTTTTTACTTATGCTGATTTACGTAAAATGACAATGTAGTTCAACGCGTCTAACTTCTGCTCTTGGCGCTCATATGACCTTATGCAGTTGCGAGCGCCGTAAAACTTCTACTAAAACTAAACTAACTTCTGCTCGCATCGTTTATCCTCAGAGTGGCCACGACGGCTCTGAAAACTTTCCTAGAGCACATGAAGATGACAGACATTCTGGACGCGCTGGAAGCGGGTCGCGGGTGGGAGCTGATGGAGGACCCTGAGGACTACCCTCAGGCCATCACGCTTTTGGCCAAGTGAGTGTTTGCTACATCAGAGCTAGTAACTCTTTGAGGACGCAACTGACACAACTGGTCGCTTTTACGGACTAGCAGGCTAACCCAGATTTCGAGGGTTTCCAGATATCTTGACCTACACCAAAAGTGGGCATTGCCTTACCGATAGGAGAAGTTTGGTTTCATACATGTATATATTTATTTGGTTATGGCGAAAACTCTCCTTGTCTTTTAAAGAAACTGAACAAGGGGCAAAAACTTTACCTTCGATTTTCTCAAAACAGCATTTTTCAGGATAGCCCCCTTGTGCTTAAAAGCGACCATTTGTCCGATCAGCAGCAGACTAAAGACCATGTTGCGGCACATTTCAGCCCATTCTACACAAATCAGACACACGCACTAGCATATTCCATAGTGTAGCATACATGTTGTTGTCTACCCTTTTGAATTTCAGTTGAAGAAAATAGAATTGAGCTATCTACAGGGATACCAAATCTCTGGTTTTTCCGGCTTTTTCCGTTTTTTTCATACACTTGCAAAGGAAAGGTGAATGGTAAGAGAAATGTTGTTTGCTCATTTAAAGATTTTACAAGGTTCGTTTTAGGTGAGGTGGGATGCTCACTCATTTTCCGTAAAAAAAAAAAAAAAATCATTTGGCATCCCTGGATAAGAATAACGAAATTATGCTTCTTTTTTTTTATTTATTTATTTTTTTTATAGTGACCAAAAGGTGCGTCCTCAATGAGTTCAGCTTTTGGCTGTGTTAATAGTTGTTGCTTCATCAGTGTTTGGCTTTTCTTTTTGCTGTTCAATCCCATGAAATAGGGCTAACCCTTCCAGCCCCATGCGCGTATATTTTCAACAGCGCTTGTACCTCCCACCGTCCCAAGAGTGTATATTCTCAGTTTCGGGGGATACCGAATTTACGCTTTTTTTTTCGAAATTAGCGAACCTAATTAAACTTTAGTTTTCATAATATTTGTTCATTTACCTTTAATCATTGTTACAGGTTATTATCTAAACCTCATTACAAGGATACTACATCACATTTTCGAATGCATGCCTCTTTTTCTTAAATACTGCTGTATTGGCTGGGACTTGGGTTAGGGAGTGCACAGAAATGGCTGGGGCTGGTAGGGCTAAGCTAGTGTGCTAGTCCTCTCTGCTCTCCTGTTTCGGTGGGCAGTGGTAAGTGTCAAACACCAACCCCCTTGGTTGTTATAAGGTGGACGTTGCTGCTAACTGAATTTTCTAGGTAGGGGGATGGGGGAGAGGAGATAAGGGGGCTCTGTAAACTTGAAAGATAAATGTGAGAACATGGGTAGTGTTGGAGCGTCAGGGGTAGTGTTATGCACAGCAGCTGAGATTTTTCTCCTCAGACACTTGGAGGATGGTGGTTCTTGGTGAAAGGGTGCGTTTTTTTGTCCTGAGCATTGTTTTGAGGAGATAAACTAGGGAGGAGGGATACACACACACTGAAATTATAGGCTAGGTTAATGTTCAGTTTTTGAATCTTCAAAAAATGTTATTTTGTCAAACAATTTGTCACAATGAAGATTGCTGTTAGAGGAAAAGGTTGCTGTTAAAAGGGTTTAGTTATATAGGAAAAAATGTGAGGTATGCTGACAAAATGAGTTACTTCTCGCGATCCACAAATGGAAATATTGGCCCAAAATCAACACTAGGGTCAAATTAGTAGATTTTCTATTGATGCCATATTCTTTATGTATAACATGCTTTTTATTATTTCATACTTATTCTTTGTAAAAACTTCAACTATAAGAGTGATGTATCTATTTCCTTGAAGGACTTACGGATTATCAAAAACATGTACTGGGATCAAACAGCTGCAATGAGAATAGAAAACGACATCAGCGAATACATACAGATTAAAAGAGGAGTCAGACAAGGATGTGTACTTTCTCCAGACTTGTTCTCCCTGTATAGTGAAAATATCATGAGACACATAGAAGAAATGCCTGGTATTTCGATAGGGGGACATAATATAAACAATCTAAGATATGCAGATGACACAGTCCTAATAGCAGAAGATGAAAAACACCTGCAGAATCTATTAAATGTCATCGTACAAGAGAGTGACAACATGGGCTTAAACCTAAACATCAAGAAAACCGAAACGATGGTGATAAGCAGAAATACTCCAATCCCAACATGCAATATCAAAATCAATGATACCACCCTCAAGCAAGTACAACATTTTAGATATTTGGGGACCATTATATCATCAGATGGTAGATGTCACACCGAAATTAAAAGCCGCATTTGCCAAGCAAAAGCAACCTTCCACAAGATGAAACAGATACTAACAAACATCAATCTGTCACTGGAAAAAAGGAAAAGAGTAATGAAAAGCTACATCGAGCCAATCCTATTATACGGGTGCGAAGCAAGGACAATCAATAAACAGCTGGAAAAAACAATTGTTGCGGCAGAGTTGTGGTTCATGAGACGCATGCTACGTATCCCATGGACAGCTAGAAAAACAAATGAAGAAGTCCTAGTTGAAGCAAATTATAGAAAACAACTTATCACGAATATAAGAAAACGACAGGCAAATTTTTTCGGACACACAATGCGGAAAGAAGCATTAGAGAACATTGTAACAACAGGAAAGTTTGATGGAAAGAGAGGTAGAGGCAGACAGAGGGAAAAGATACTGGACAAGATGACAACATGGCTGGGAGCAGCAAGAACAACAGACACCATTGCTGCTTCGAAAGACAGATGGAAGTGGAGGTCCATGATCGCCCACGCCAGTCGGCAAGGCACCGGATGATGATGATCTATTTCCTTAAGGCTTTAATCTGAGAAGTAACTCATTTTGTCTGGATGCTTCACAATTACTTTACACAAGGGTAGGTTGGCTGGTAGGTGGAGGTTGCTTTTATCTAGGTTGCTTTTAAGTGGACATTACTGTACTCTACTTTCTTTCATGTTTAACATTCAAAGTGTTATTTGTGGGTGGTTGGCGGGTGCTCTGGTGTGGTTTGCTCCTTCTTTCCTATCAAACATCTATTGTCCTTATCTCCCCTCCTTCTGTTTCATGTATGTTACTCTCTTGTAACAGGTAATCTATTCTTCGGCACTTATATGACCTTATTGTGTTGCAAGTGCCGTAAATCTGTACTAAAATTTAAAAAGTGTTATTTATATGCCAGAAGTAGCTGTTGTGTCGTGGAGCTGGGGTTTTTCAGCGCTTATTTTGTGTGTGACGTTTCAGTGCCTTGGTGTACGAGGAGAAGGAGACTCACGTCGGCGACATTGTCAACTCTCTGACCTCTGTGCTTTCCAGTCTGTATGAGTCTCAGCGGGTCACGGTGGCTGCTTTTTTTGCTGAGGTATGTGTTTGATATTTGTGAGGCAGCATGGTGAGATCGGGCGCTCGTCAAAATACCGATGGGCAATATTTTTCTAATTTTCTTTTTTTGGCTCAACACCTTTTATATCCATTTAAAAGCACATTTCAGTGTGGATTTTATTGAAAAACATTGATTGAAGGCACAAAAAATGTCAGTTTTCGGTTTCCAAGGACTCTCAAGCTATGGAAATTATCAAACTGTGGTGGGCATTTTCTCGCTAATTTCACCTGTGAAAGCAGGCGTCCCTGACCTCCTTCAGTGGCAAATATTTCGACTTTTATTCAACATAGATGGATATTTTTTTCTCCCAAAGCAAGGCAAATGAACAGGCTTTAAGATGATGCCAGTAACCCCTTATGCCCAAAAATTGACGAACGCCTGATTCCACCACGTCTTGACACATGATGAATCTAAAAAAAAACGAATTATTTTTTTCCCCTATGTTGAATGTGCTGTTAACAACTGTTTTGCTTTTCCATCGATTTAAAGATAAAAAGTGTCATGAAGTAGCTGGTTGTAAATTCCATTCTAGTAGTTTCTCTGTTTAAGAGTTCTGTGCACAAATGTTTACTGTACATTTTAAGATAGAAAGGCTGGCAGAACCAGTGGCTTGATCTTTATAGTTTGCCTGTTACTACTGATGTAGAAATAAATGGCCCCCCGGGGCAGTGCCTCTGACTTTAGTGTCTTTAAGCCATTCCCAAAGGGGGGACATATCTCGTTTAAGCACAGTCTATCACTAGATGTGAAATAAAAATTATTCTGATCTTGTGAAGTCCAATAAGTTTCTATTTCTTTGAGTCTGGGAGAGGGTCCTTTGAAAGTGGATCTCAGGCTTCGTTGTTTTTTTTTAAGGCAAAACAATATACTAAAAACTTTGTACTGTCCAAGAACTGAAGTGTACACCAACATATTCCATCCTGCTATAAAGATTTTGTTCCATGTCACCATTTTTAGGAGATGAATCGAGGTGTTCTAGGGATAGTGGAAACAGAAAGAAGAGTATGAGAGTCAAGAGAAGAGTATGAGAGTCAAATGTGTACTTACTTCTATCCTGCCTTTGATGTTGCTTTTGCCACAACTACTAAGGCTGCATTCCCAAGGTTGTGGGTGGTTGGCGGGTGCTCTGGTGTGGTTTGCTTCTTCTTTCCTATCAAACATCTCTTGTCTTTATCTGCCCTCCTTCTTTTTTGTTTTTGCTGCTCTCTTGTAACATCTCTAATCTTCGGCACTTATATGACCTTATTGTGTTCCAATTGCTGTAAAACTCTTACTGAAACGTAAAGTCCTGAAGTAACAACTTGTAATGACTAACACATTATGCTGGATCGATCAATGACACCTACTACGAATAATCTACCCTGTGCTGTAAGGGTTTATCTCTTTCCATATGATTAGATACTGTTATAGAAGTTCTTCAATAGACATGATGTTGAACTGATAAAAACTGTAAATTGATGCTTTGTTTGTAAGAGCTAAAAACAAAAGCTTGATAAAGATGGGGCTGTTTAGTTCTGTGTCTCCATATTTCTTTGTGTTCCTTCCTCCAGCTCATCAATCAAAAGTGCCAGGGAAATGAGGACCTGGTCCAGCTTGTCATGACGAGCCTGCTGGGGCGACTGGTGGACGACTCCCACATTGTGCGCATGTTGTGTGTGCGAGGTCTGGGGAATATCGCTAGTGTCGGCAGAGAGCAGGTGAGGGTTGGCGTTGATTGGAAATAATAATAATAAATAGCATTTGTATAGCGCAAATCCCTGCTCAACAGCAGGCTCTATGCGCTTCATAATCTATACTATTATCCCAGCAGACCAGAGAGCATTCTGAAACAAACTCAATTTCCTGGGAAGCATTCAGTGCATGTGGCCATTTATAGGCGTTAAAACACTAACATACTGACAAGATCTTTCGCTGTCTATGGCCGGGTACCCATTTCCATCTGAGTAAAGTGAGGAAAATTCATGTAAAGTGCCTTTCCCAAGGACACAACGTCGGGCCCGCGGTTCGAACCCCGAACCCTCAACCTCACAATTACGAGTCCGGTGGCCTAACCACTAGTGTCGGCAGAGATCTTTAACATGCACAACTTGCACACTGGCCCTCCGAGATTTTTCGCTCTTGTCCGAGGAGGCTAAGTGTAGATCTTTACTACCAGAAGATCAGGGGTGTGGCTGGATGACAGCAGTAAGAAGGAACCAAGAAGTAGCAGTAGAAAGGCTGTAGAAAGAGTCAGGAGCCCAGAAGAGGGGGCAAAGGAGGTGAGGGAGTGGGGCAAAAAGAGGAGATGAAAGCAGACGATAGAACATCGCTAGAGAGCAGGATAGGAGGTGAAAGGAGACAATTTTAGAGAAGAATATTTTTTGGTTGCTACCCAAATTCGAACACGGGACCTTTGAATGAGAGGCCAACGCCTTAACCTCTAGGCCTCGAGAGCCCCCCAGGCTAGGTGTGCAATAGGGTGATCTCTTTCTCTCTTTCTCCGGGCGCTGTGGCATCATAATTGGTCAGCGATGCCGATAGCACGCAGGAACTCAACACTTGCCCGGGGGTCCTTGAAAAATGCTGTGGGTTTCTGAAATGTCCCAGCAGAGGGGTCGATAGGGTGATGGCAGCAGCTGCTGATTACTTGTGCAGTCAGATGAGAGAAAATGGTGAAATTACCAGTCATTGGGTTTGAGTCCATGGGCTTTATCTGGGCAAAAAGTAAATTACTAAAGACCTCAGTCAAACAGTATGTCTTCCATTTATTAGTTTTATTATAACTGAAATTATCAAATAATAAAGAAATGTCCAAACTCTCCCATGCATACAAATCCATCCAGTAAGATCAGATCGAGTAATATCTCGCTCTCATCCTGTCTCACTGGGCGTATTGATTGTCAACGGAAAATAGGATTACCAAGTTGCAACATGGAAAAGGGGTACTGATTAACAAACTTCCCGTGTGTTAATCTAGGAGAAAATATAGTTCCGGACACAGTGTTTGACCCCAATTTACTGGTTTTTTCACCTTTTTTCACTGAAAGGTGCATGATTGCTGTATTGAAATGTGTCTATTAATGTCATGGTATGCCGTAAAAATTGACCCGTAAGAGGTTTAATGTCCAGGTCCAGCTGTACGCGACGACGATCCTGTCAGCCATGATGGCGGGTATGGACGACAAAGAAGACCCGGAGGATTACATCACCATCGAGGCCATGATTGGTCTGTCGCGTGTACTGGGGGAGATTCAGGAAGAACACATACGGGCCATTCTCATTAACGTCTCCCTCAAAATTCGTCCATGTTTTGAAAAGGTAGGTGCTTGTTTGGGATAAAATAATGATAAAAATAAACTGCACTTTTATTTGTCCCAGAAGGGCACTTTGGTTTACAATGGCAGACATACATTTACATATATAACTACATAATTATAAATATGTACCTACATAAATACATGCATAAAATGTACATGCATAAATACATGCATAAATACGTACATAAATACACTATATTACACAAATACAAAACAGTCTACAACCATGCCTTTGTCGGTCGCCACTGTGCAGCGGCCTGTGTTTTGAGATAGGGTTGTCATGTCTTACTCAAGGACACACCCTAGTGACCACCCATCTGATCCCCGTGTCACCGACACTTGCTTGACATTACTTGAGTCTAAACTCACTACTCACTTAGCCACTGGAGAATCGTCATCATCATTGTGCTGCTCACCTTACTGTTTAGTATCTTTAAAACGTTAAGTAATATTGATAAAGGATCACTTTTATATAGTGCTTTTCCCTTCTGTGAATGCTCATTGCACTGAACATGGAAGATTATATAAACAAATACACTTGTTCATCAATAATAACAATGGTTGGATAAAATGGTCTCCCTCACCCTCTCTCACTCCTGGGAGAAAGGCTGCGTGTTTCCCAAATATAATTAACGTCTCTTTACATTGCTGCCTCTTATTAATACATAACATTCTTTTACAGCACTGCCATCCACTGATTAGATTCTGACTTGTTATACTTATTTTATACACCTTTGTTTTCTTTAATGATTTCATTTCATGCTGTCAAGTTATTGTCACTGCTCAAACAGTGTAACAATTCTATAGCAGTCGTCTTCAGACTTCATCTGTCTGTATCTTTCCTTTGCCACTCTTTTTGTCCGTTCAGTTTCTCCTGCTCTCGCTGTCTGCCTGTCTGTCTGTCTGTCTGTCTGTCTGCCTGCCTGCCTGTCTGTCTGTCTGTCTGTCTGTCTGTCTGTCTGTCTGTCTGTCTGTCTGTCTGTCTGTCTGTCTGTCTGTCTGTCTGTCTGTCTGTCTGTCTGTCTGTCTCTCTCTCTCTCTATCTCTCTTTCTCTCTCTCCCTCTCTCTCTCTCTCTCTCTCTCCCTCTTTCCGTCCCTCCCTCCTCCCCCCTCCCCCCCCTCTCTCTCTCTCTCTCTCTCTCTCTCTCTCTCTCTCTCTCTCTCTCTCTCTCTCTCTCTCTCTCTCTCTTTCTCTCTCTCTCTCTCTCTTTCTCTCTCTCTCTCTCTCTCTCTCTCTCTCTCTCTCTCTGCCTCTCTCTCTTCCCCCTCCCCCTCCCCATTTACCTAAAATCAGACAAAATTTGGAATAGTAGTACTTAATTACACTTTTAACGCATTATAAATTCTTGTTTCTATTATCAAAGGATAAGTCGCAAGTGAGAGCTCAAGCCTTCAAACTCTTTGGCAATTTGTCACGGTTTGGGGACGGGCCGTCCAAAGCACCTTTCCTTGAGCAGATCCACAGCAATTTCATCAGTCTTCTCCTGCATCTTAACGACAAAAACGACGATGTAAAACAGGTCAGTTTGTTTTGAGAACTGTCTGATCGCTATTCTTGTCAGAACTAGCGATTTTTGTCTTTTTTTTTTGGGGGGGGGGGGTTGCCCTTTTTTTACCCTATAAGGATGACACTGTGGGTGGTTGGCAGGTGTTCTGGTGTGGTTTGCTTCTTCTTTCCTATCAAACGTCTATCGTCTTTATCTCCCCTCCTTCTTTTTTGTGTTTGTTACTCTCTTGTAACACCTCTAATGTTCAGCACTTATATGACCTTATCGTGTTGCAAGTGCAAACTAAAACTAGAAATAAAGGATGACACCATCTGTTTAGTACAGTGTGATGGGCTCAGACTCACAAATTATGTGAAGCATTGTAGGTGGATAGTCAGTGGGATGCAAGAGGATGTCAATTCTTTTTTTTCCCCTTTATTTCCACTATTAACCCTATCTGTATGTCGTGTTTTTCTATCGTATCCATACGACGTTGGGAACTCTGTGCCACCACTTTCCAAAGAGGAAATTTACTCGTTAAATCGATCAGTCAAAATGATTTTTTGAAAAATACTGAAAGTTTCAAAGAGATCCTTGTTCTAGAAGTATTCCAAAATGTGAAGAATACAACACCGGGGGTACAAAATGACCCCAGGGCGTACAGATAGGGTTAACAAAGGTGGCCTGTTGGAAGAAAGGAATGAACGATCAGCGATGAAGGACACTCCTCGCAGAAATCCGTGTCTTGGGAGATATGGAGCAACGAGAATGTTTTATACTGGATTTGTTTTATATTGTTATACCAGGGACTGTGCAGGGTACATGTACATGATAAGAATTGAAGATATGAAAATGAAAACACACCCTTTATCATACTTTATGGCGAGAAACAGTGTTTAACCCTATTCGTACGTCGTGTTTTACTATCGTATCCATACAATGTGGGGAACTCTGTGCAACCACTTTCCAAAGAGGAAATTTACTCGTTAATCCGATCTGCACGCTTTGCATAGCTGTCTGTCAAAATGATTTTTTGAGAAATACTGAAAGTTTCAAAGAGATCTTCGAACTAGAAGTATTCTAAAATGTGAAGAACACAACCCCGGGGGTACAAAATGACTCCTAGGCAACGGAGAGGGTTAAATGAAATGTCTCTCTTTGTGTTGAAATGAATAGTGTCTCTTTGTGCTGAAAATGAAATGTCTCTCCTTGTGTTGAAATGGAGTCTCTCTCTGTGTTGAAATAGTGTCTCTCTGTGCTTTTGCAGGAATGCAAGTATGCTCTTCGGCTCTTGGGACCACTGATGGGATCAGAAGTTATGAACGACAAATTTCAGCGCCACTTGGTGGAAGGTGGCTACCTGCACTATGGAGAGTTCATGAATGACTTGGCCAAGCTCATTGTGAGTATGCAGGGTTAGGAAGTGGGTGGTTGGCGGGTGCTGTGTTTTAGTTTGTTCCTTCTTTCCTATCAAACATCTATCATCTCTATCTCTCCTTCTTCTTGTTTGTGTTTGTTACTCTCTTGTAACTCTTCTAATGTGGGTGGTTAAAGGGTGCTGTGTTGTAGTTTGCTCCTTCTTTCCTATCAAACATCTATCATCTCTATCTCTCCTCCTTCTTGTTTGTGTTTATTACTCTATTGTAACACTTGTAATCCTTTTCACTTATGTGACCTTATTGTGTTGCAAGTGCTGTAAAACTCTAACTAAAAGAAACAAACAAAAAGCTGTCAGGAAAGCAGTCCTTGAGAGCTGAGCATTTTATACTGTGGAAGTTGGTAGTTGGAGGATTAGTGGGTTTGATCTTTTTTTACTCCCCCCTGTTGATTTTTGAAAAATATTTTTTTTTGCTTTTTATCTTTGCACTGAGTAACTGTTATTGTGTTCGGGGGCTTCTCTGTAAACAAACAAACCACAAACAGCCTAACTGTCAAATGGTTTTCTCATTGAGTTATTGTCTATAGGAGTTAAGTAAAGAGCGTGGGTTGTTGGCAGGTGCTCTGGTGTGCTTTGCTCCTTCTTTCCTATCAAACATCTATCATCTCTATCTCTCCTCCTTCTTTTTTAGTGGTTGTTACTCTGGTGTAACACCTCTAATCTTCGACTCCTATAAGACCTAATCGTGTTGCAAGTACCGTAAAACGCTTTCTGAAACAAATAAGTGAGGAGGAAACAACTTGTGAAGAAAGGTTTGGTTTATTTTATTCTGAATTGTTTGGTTTCTACACGCTGAGTCATGTAAGGTCAAAGTCGTGAAAATGCTTTAGATGTCACAAAAAATTGTTTTGAATGCTGACAAAAGAACTCGTATTGATAATGAGTCCCCTCAGCTCCTAATTCTTTCATCCAATGATCACAGATCCAGGATTTCCCAGACAAAATCAACTTCTACGTGATGGGGTGTGTGGCTTTCTTCAAGAGTGCCTGGCCAGAGATCAAGAGCAACGCTGCCATGTTCACAGGTAGCCAGTGCTTTTCTTGTTGCAGTCCTTAACCCTTTGAACCGTAAATCTTGAAATTTCTCAAATCTCTATCCCTGGACATTTTTTGCAAATTTCATCAAAGTTCACAGTGTTTTGGGGGCACATACACAAAAAGACTGAGGTGAAGAACATGGAGAAATAAACACATTTGTTCACTCCCTTGTTTACCCTATTATGAGGTGGAAATATTGTAGGACGACGAACAAGAAATAAAGAGAGCACTTTTGACGGACCATACAACTCAGGGAAGTCCGTGCCCCGGTGAAGCGGCCTTACGGTATACTGCAACATACTGCCCAGGTCGGTTTACAGGCCTAACAGGTTCAAAGGGTTAACATTGTTCTTGTACTGACACGGCATTAGCTAAGAGAAGAGGTTTGGGCATTAAGATGAAGCTTGCCTAGGTGTATAATCACGAACGAAAACAAGACGTTTTACTAACACTGCTACTTGTCTTCAGGTTGTTTTCTTTTTGTGGGACAACCTGGCATCTAAACGAGAATAGAAGGAGTTAACAATTGTTTAAAATAGCTTGATTAGACAAATGTATTTGAGTTTGAACTATTTTAAGAAGGGACACCTCATCTGGACCTTTATCACACATTTTTTAAAAGAATGAAGTACTTCTCATGGTTTTATGGAATAGCTCACTTTTGAGACGTATCGGGAATGAAACATTTTGGGTATTTTTTAAGGAATAAAATGAGAAGCTTTAGTTGAGGGGGACCAAGAAATATATGTGATCGTAAAGAAATGAGAGTTAAACAATATGTCCTTCTTTTGTTTAGGTAAAAACTTTTGGCTAACTTTCAGGTTTATCAACAACCACCATCGTGTTGGAAAAGATTATTTTTTTTTAGGGGGAGGTGGATATTTTTTTCATTGTATTGAACCGGAAGTTTTCTATAACTTTGACAACAGGTTTTGGGTGGTGTGAAAGACAGAAGAGTATACTAAACACTCTACTCTGTCCCCGTGGTTTTATGCACCCCGCATAACTGAACAAAATTAGATCATTTTGGCATAATTTGTGATTATTTTTCTTTATCATTCTTTGTTAAAATGAACAGAATCGCGTAATTTCACATTTTTGGGCTCAGTGTGCATAATTTCAGAATTTTTCTTGCATAAAACGAATGGGACAGTCTACTAGAATAGAAGGACAATACTGTTAGATCTGACACGTAGCCTACCGTGAGGAAGGGTTTATGGTGCCATTCCAAGCGTAGGGTTCCTAATAGTGACAGATGTAAGAGATCTTTCTAAAACATTAACTGTCAATCTCTTCTGCATTTAAAACTATTTTTCCTTTTGTGCAGGCTTCCTTCTAGGGAATTTGACCAAGCAGGCACAGTCCAGCATTACAAAGGAGCACATATGTTCAGGTACGTTGCTGAAAGTTTTTACATGAAAGTGCACTTACATTCTTACAAATTGATATGATGTTATGTATTCTTGATATTTGATCTAAGTCAGACGAGCACAAGACGATAGTAAACATTCAGCCATATTGATTTCATAGGGTAGGAAGTGTTTATTTTCGTATCGAACATCTTCACTATATTCGAGTATAAGTATCGAATATCATGACCCAAATTACTGGTGGGTGGTTTGCAGGTGCTCTTGGTGTGGTTTGCTTCTTCTTTCCTATCGAACATCTATCGTCCTTATCTCCCCTCCTTCTTTTTTGTGTTTGTTACTCTCTTGTAACACGTCTAATCTTCTGGTGCTCAAATGATCACCTTATGCAGTTGCGAGCGCCATAAAACCTCTACTAAAACTTACTAACTAAAACAAATGACGGTTGAGACTGTCCAAGACAGCCCCCTTATGTGAGGAAAAAATGTGGTTGTCTTAGTTAGGTGGACTTCGTGGACAATGTCGAATAGTTTTCAAAAGCTGAGGGGAATGTGGGAAGGGGTTGTTTACACAGTGATTGATTTGGACAGGTGGCCACTAGTGCAGGTTTGACTGTACAAGGTACTAAGAAAGAACATTTTGTTTCCAGGAATGCTAATTTTTATTTTTTAATGTAATGGTATTGCTGACAACTTATCTTTTTTTGAAATTTTAAAGATTTACAATTCATACAGAATAAGGCATGAACAGTTGCAAAGCTAAAAAAACCCAAACAGTTTAACTTAATTAACTTTGTAAATTACATTTTACATTTTCATTTGTTGGTGTTGTTTTGGGGGTTTTTTGTGGGTGGTTGGCATGTGCTCTGGTGTGGTTTGCTTCTTCTTTCCTATCAAACATCTATCGTCCTTATCTCCCCTTCTTAGTTTTTATGTTTGTTACTGTCTTGTAACTCCTCTAATCTTCTGGCGCTCATGTGACCTTATGCAGTTGCGAGCGCCGTGAAACCTCTACTAAAACTAAGACTAAACTTGTTTGTTTTTTTTGTCTTTTCAGCATTGACAATGTTACTGAAAGACAGCTCCCCATCCGTGCGAGCCAAGGCTGCAGAAGCTATGAGCTTGCTATATGACTATTGATTAATATCCCTCCTGCTTTTTGAAACCCTTGTTGATTTTCTTGGCCACAAAGCGATTAGTGTTTGTGTATTTTTGCACAGCTTGAGAGCATTTCCCTCACTGTCTCTCTGTTGATAAAATGCTTAATGACTGCTGTTGTAGATCTTAGATATTGCCATGGAGGCATGACAGGTCAGTTTTGCGATTTAATCAAAAACAGTACCACTAGTGAAGCATGTACAATACAGCTTGTCTATTCTCATACTTTATTTTACCTGAACTTCCGAGGTCAACATTCTCATGACCTATAATTCTGTGTGTGGCTTTGAATGTTGCTGAAATAAAATATCATTGCTGTCATTAGAAAATTGTGTAACTCCATTTTGACTTGCTTTACAGGGTTCATAGGAAAACATTGGAGATATTCATTTTTCTTGGGCCTATGCCGATATATTTAAGAAAAGGTAGAGAGCCTTTAAAAATGTTAACTCCTTTAGTCATGTGCAATCAACTGGTGGTGCTTAACTCTGTATCTCCGAGGGGGGGTAAACCCACTGTGGCGGGGCCCTTTTCTTGGTACTAAATATAAGAATATAAGAATGACAAAATCGTCACTAAATGGGTCATTAAATCAAAACGAGTGAGCCTATTTTGATAGTTTTTCATCTAATGAATGGACTTACGGTATAAGAGACCTGTTTTTGGCACTTGCCGAAAAGTGATTTGATGTCGAAGTCGTCGTAAAGGAATGGGCCCGAGCCACTATCAGCGGCTCATCAGCACATCATTTCTGACTGTGAGGCGCTGAGAGTGGCTTTCAGGAGATAAAGAGTTAAGTGACGAATAAACCATGTCTGGTATTGACTGTGTCATATGCCCCAACTGAACATTATTTTGTTTTGTTTAGAATTGCTTCTTATATGTTGAATGAGATGCCAGCGGCATTGATAAATGCCTAATTCCTTGATAATGCTGAATACCATACATGATTTCACTTTGATTTGAGGTGAAGAGTCTGAGCAGCTAGTAATACTACTCAGAAATGTGTGCAGAAACAAGGTAATGTAACTTGCATTCAGAACAAAGCTTTTAAAAAGAAATTACAGTGCAGAAGCCTGCTATGCAAATTAGCTTGTTGAGTTGTTTTTGTGTTATGTCATGTAAGTGTTATTCTTTCATGCAATGATTTCCCTGTGATATTACTAAGTAATAATTGTTGAGTAAAGTTGTTTCAGTTTGTTTTAGTTCATTTTTCTATTGGTATGTTTGACTAGTGTAGTACTTATTCCGATCAACCTTTGAAGAGGTCAAGGAATTTCTTTTTGTACTTGGTCTTGTGCAATATGATTATTAATAAACACCATGATTCAGATTTTTTTAATGCTCATTTTCAAACGGAATAAGAGTGAAGATTTTTTGTTCTGTATTGTTTTGGGTTTTTTTTAGTTTCTGAGGTTGTTTGTGTGGGGTGAAGGTTCTTCTTGCTTTGATGTTGTCACCAAATTGTCATCATGTTTCAAACGCCAGTCATATCAATATTCACTACATTTTCCCAATAAAGTGAGTTGGCCTACAATATAAGTTGAAAGTTTGAGTATCAATCATTAATTTAAACTGTCTTTTCCTATTATGCTTACAAAACTTTTTTATTGTTGATGTTAGTTGTAAGCTGTTATAATAATTTAATATATATGTGTTTGCTTTCTTATTATGGACACAGTTGTGTGGTACCATGTTCAGGACTGGCACCATGGATGATATGTGTCACGACGTGGTGGAATCAGGCGCTCGTCAGATTTGGGGCGTATAGGGGTATTGGTATCATCTTAAAGCCAGTTCATTTGCTTTGCCTTAGGGGAAAAAAATATCAGTCTATGTTGAAAAGAAGTCACGATATTTGTGATTGAAGGAGTCGCTTTCTTTCAGAGTCAGAGGTAAAATTAACGAGAAAATGGCCGCCGAAATTTGGTAATTTTTATAGCTTGGGAGTCCTTGGGAACTGAAAACTTACTGTTATTGTGCCTTTAATCTACGTTTTTCAGTAAAATGAACACGGAAATCTGTTTTTAATTGGACACAAAAGGTGTTGAGCTTAAAAAGAAAATTATGAAAATTTGCCCGAAAGCCAGAAAAAAATGCCAGTTTCTTTGATTTCATTATTTTGACGAGCGCCTGATTTCACCACGATCCCTCACATCTGCAAACTGGCAGAGGATCAGAAAGTAGAATTTTTCTCCGAAATAAAAGTGTTGGGCGTTTTGAATGTAAGTGGGTTGTGCAAAGGTCGTTACATGAGAATTTCTTTCTGTGTTGAGGGGAATGACTACACTGTGGTTCCATTGTGAGTTGTTGTGATATTTGGTCGCTTGGACAAGCGGGCTAACACAGATTTTGGGGAGTTTCCAGAAATCTTGACCTACACCAGAAGTGGGCATTGCCCTACCTATAGGAGAAATTTGGTTTCATTCATTGGTGTGTATATTTTGTTTGCTTATAGAAAGTACTCTCCTTATCTCTTAAAGAAACTGAACAAGGGGCAAAAACTTTACCTTCGATTTTCTCGAAACAGCATTTTTGGGGATAGCCCCCTTGTGCTTATAAGCGACCGTTTATGAAGAAACTTTTGTATCATTGCTGTAGAAAGGTGCTTCATGAGCCTCCGACTTCAATAATATTTGACTTTTCCTTTTTTAAATGTGGATTTTGTCGAAGTCCATTGACTTATGCCCAGCGTTGTGAGTTTGTACGTGCAATATGTCAATGCTGGGAATGTAGTTATCTCTTCTTGCTTATTCCAAGCTGACATTGTTGATAGTTTCGCGGAGGATGTGACAGGATATAGTCCTCACCGTGAACTCAAGTGCTGACCTTCATTTTTCTTTCGTCAAGTTTCGCATTTAAAGCAAGGAGTTTCAGCTGTATTTTGTGTGTTTCTTTATCGTTATGATGCCTGTGTGTTTTTTAAACTCTTGTAGTAATGGTTGATCTTTCAGCAACTGAACTTTTGCTTTTTTTGTATAATGCTGCCAAGTCAAAGCATGTATGCATTTTTGCTTCTGTTGGTGGTGTGTGTGTGGGGGGGGGGGGGGGGGGTGTCTGTGTTGATAAATGTTGTTTGTAGAAGAAGAAAGCGCTTTCTGTGTTACAGTGTTTTCCCCAGTGAACAGGCATAGTCTATTAGTCTATGGTTTAGCATAAACGTAAAAGTTTTGTGATGCAATTTGTAGAGGGAGGTGGGCGGGGGCAGAGGGGAGGAAGCTGGACTTCACTGACTGAACTGATATGGATCTGGTGGTAAAGTAGTAGTAAGGTGTGACTTTTCCTTGTGTGAGAAATTATTCTGTCCCTCTGTTCAGGTTTCCCACAGGGTCTTTTATGTTAGGGATGTGCATGATTTATATGTTGTCGTTTTGAATGACAAAACTAGTATATATGCGAAGCAAGGTCAAAACCATCAATATAAGTGAAAATGTCCACCTATTCCGGGTTAATTTCCTACCATGGAGAAGATTGCCTCTCTTCTAGTATCTTGTCTTTCACAAATACTAACTGCATTAGGCTTTATGTCCCTCTCGGTAAGAAAAACTGTATTCTAGTGAAATATTTTTGTCATTTAGCTGTTGACATTTTTGATATTCTACCAATTGATTTATGTGTTTGTGGTGCATATTATTTATGAACTTATGACTAATATTGCCAGTACAAGGGTTACCGGTAGAGTTATGTTTCGATTACAATCAATCTTTGCCATATGTTCCAGAGAATAAATGCTTATTTTATTATTAAAAAAGAAACAATCCTTCATCTTGAGTTTGACCATTATGTTTTGTTCTTAAAGATGGGAACCACTTTGGTATTTCTGTAGTGCCAAAAAGTTTGGTCTTCAGCGTGGGTGATGGAGAGCTGTACTGATTGATCCCACTTCTTTTTTTCTGTCTGTGCTTTACATCTTAAATTTTTCTCGCACTGAATTGCTGTTATTTGCCACTGTCTTTCATATTCCTTAAACTACACCAGATCTTGGTTGCAAAAGACATTTCATCTTATCAAGTCTACTTAATATGAATGTAGGCCTACTCATTTCCTTTTCCTTTTACTACGTGCAATTGTTATCAAACTAATTTGGTTAATTTTCAAATTAAATAAAAATGTATCTTGCTTTATATTCTGTCTCGCCATTTATAAATTGGGACTTTACTTTTTCTTGTTGATCTATTCTCTCCCCTGGGTTTTATGCACCCCACATAATTTAGCCAAATTTGATCATTTTTTGCATAATTTCTGATTATTTTCCTTCATCATTCTTTGTTAAAATTGACAGTATCGCGTAATTTCACATTTTTAGGCTCAGGTTGCATAATTTCAGAATTTTTTTTTGCATAAAACCGCGGAGGCAGTTTATTATAAATTGTGAAGAGGTGAAGTTATTTATCTACAAAAGCTTACTTTCTTCACATTCCCCTGCTAGAGCTTAGAGAGTAACAAAAGTGAAGGATCTTCATCCCACAGTGCAGTTGATTTGTATGTACATGGCTGTTATCTACATAGAACGTAAAATGATCCTTTACCTTACAGGTAGCCACATGCCGTAGAAGGGACTCTCAAATATTATATTATTGACTAGAGTGGCTATTTTATTCTTGGAGGATTACTTTGGTCTTTTCCTGTATGTTCACAGACACCTGATTTCAATTTTTTTCCCTCTCCCTGCACACATCCTTACTCTCAAATACTGACATCTGTGGTGTGTAAAGGTTTGACTCTTTGTTATTACTTACAGTACAGAGAACGTAAGTTCTGATTCTCATAATTGCTAAAAAATTCAATGGCAACAAGGCTAGAGGGCGACTGAGAAAGACCTGGATAGATGGAGCCAGGGAAACACTAACAACTCATGGCATCCCCCTGACCCTAGCTCTGCGGCTGGTAGCAGAGAGACGTCTCTTTCTTCCCATGACACCCAAAAGGGTATCAGCGGTGGATAAAAGTAAAGTAACGCACAAGCTGTTCTATCGGGTACATGTAGCCTATCTCCTTCTTCTAGGACGTTGTATCCCATTCAGCCCGGGTTGGCCTTGGTAGGCCTCCAAAATTCTCTAAATTGTGTCGATGGGGGCGTAAAGCATTTGTGTCAGGACGTGGCAGAATCAGGGGCTCATCAATTTTTGGGCATCTATTGGTATCATCTTAAAGCATGTTTATTTGTCTTCCTTTTGGTGAAAAAAAAAATATCAATCAATTTTGAATAGAAGTTGAAATATTTGCTATTAAAGGAGGTCAGGGTCGCCTGGTTTCAGAGGTAAAATTAGCGAGAAAATGGCTGACAAAGTTTGGTAATTTCCATAGCCTGAGAGTACTCGGAAACTGAAAATTTACATTTTTGTGTCATTGATCAATCTTTTTCAGTAAAATACACACACAAATGTGTTTATAATGGACATAAAAGGTGTTGAGCAAAACAAAACAAAAATTTGAAAAAATGCCCATCGGCCCCAAAAATGCTGATATCTTCGATTTCATTATTTTGACAAGCACCTGGTATAATCACGCTGCCTCACATTTACACATTGACCAACAATCAATCTCAACAGTTTTTCTAGCTTATTCTTTATTTTACTTTCAGTAGTTCAAAATTGTGCATGTAGTACTAGTAGAATGATTTTGTTATGTAGAGCTGCATCGTGTGCCTGTGCAATCTCTCAGCATACCTACCAAAGTGCGTTTGAAAGGGGAACAATTGGTGGACATTAAAAAAAAGTGAACTGCTTTTCCTCTCTTTAAGGACATTTTTTTTTTTGCATGGTGCTCTAATTAGTCTAATGTGGTTGGCTGCCCTCAAAGTAAATCCATTTGGTGTCTATTTAGATGATTAATAAATAAACGTTTACAAGATGTTGACAGAAATGTTTAGATCTATGTTGAAATAATGTGATGAACACAGAATGGAGACACTGTTCTGATCACTTGTCTTTGTCAAGCCAGATATATTTTACGTATTTAAGAAAGAAAGAATTATCAGGATATATGAAAACCGTATCATAGAAAGAAAATTGAGTACATGTAACTCCATTTTTGCCCTGCTTTACAGGGTGAGTTAGAAATAAAGGAGTGACCTTGTATTGGCTAGCGGCCTTTATACAGCCCCAATATAAACACTCCCATCTTCTGTCGTCCCAATAAACGCTTCCTCTAGACACATAAACTTATTACAACTGCATGAACCCTTAATCAAACATCCCCTCCCCCTCCCCCTCCCCAACAGCAAAACTAGCTCTCCAGCCTAGAGAGAAGTTACTGCAGCCAGAAATGGGTAGCCCAGATACGGTTTTTAAAGGGGATGTTTAATTATTTAGCTTTCATGAAGCACAGAAGAGCTGTTCCTTAAAAAAACAAAAACATATAGGAATTGCTCACCTTTCTTGTGACAACGATGATGTAAGTTACAAAATAATTCAACTCAAGCACATGTTTGAGAAGAGCAATTTAATGGATATGCACATTTTAAAAACTGAGCAACACTGAATGAGAAAAAAATTGGGATTCACATGACAGTCATCTTTATCTAGTTAGAGAAAAGACTGAAAATAGACAGCACTGAGGCTTAATGTGTGGACAGCATGTTCAACTTGTTACATGCGGTCACTGTTCAGGTGCAGAGATGTGTAAGTGATGACACACTTTGTTCATCAAGTCCATCTTCTTTTCCCTTGTCCGGCATGCAACACCTCGCTCTTTCAGCCAAGCTATCAGAGACGCTGAATTCACTTTTGCCAGCTGAGGATGAAATTGAAAAAAACAAAAACAATAAGAAAAACTGTAACAATAACAGCTGCAAGGAAAGCAAGAATCTTGGCCTTGATTTCATATAATGTGACTCACTAACAGATCAAAAACATCCTTCAGCACTGCAAGACACACAGGGCCCTGAGACAGGAAACGTGGCCAACCCCACTTACACTACGAGAGAAGCTATACGGGCCGACAGATGAACTGAGCAGGACGGCTCAATTTATGACAGATACCAGTACCAGACTTCAAGTGTGATGCTATCGAGAAGAAGAAGAAGAAGGAGAAGGAGAAGGAGAAGGAGAAGAAGAAGAAGAAGAAGAAGAAGAAAACCATAAATAAGGGAGAATTTTTTTTAAAACCCTTCTGAAAGCACTTTATTTTATTCTTCCGTTTGTACCGGTGGGTGTCACGGGGAGACACAGGCGTATGTCTGAAGCAAGGCGAGTGGCCTGTAGGAGGGACATCCCGTGGCATCTAAAAGAACCACATACATTAACATGGGGGCTCTAGTGGTCTAGAGGTAGGGTGTTGTTCAGATGGAAATTTGGAAGACCATCAAGACGGAAGAATCTTGTTTGGTCTTCCCCTTCTGATGTCATCCGTATGATATTAAGTACTTTAAGAGAGATCAAATCTTTCGATTCATTCAAATGTCACCTGAAGACGTTTCTGTTTTTAAATTAATGAGATGAATATTTTGAGTGGTTTTCTTTAAGCCAGAACACAACGTTTTATGTTACTGTTGTACGTTGTACTGTATTGTAAAGCGCTCAGAGCTTGTGTACTTTAATCGGGGTTGAGCGCTATATAAATGTCATTTTTTATTATTATCTTTTTTGTTTCATTCATTCTTCTGGGCACATATATCTTGCAAAAGGCTGTAGAGCAAGACTCGTACTTCTTTTTAGTATTTCACTATGCTATCTGCCTTTGCATCTTACTTCTTTCCATTACTGAATGTTTTTGAGTCAATGTACTTCCTTTTTTTCTTCACAAAAACTAAATTGAATATTTCTATCTCTGCAAAAAAAGCCAAGATGGCTGGATAGCAAATATCTGAAGACAAATCATCAAACACAACAGTAAATGATGAGTTCCAACCTGATTCATTCGGGCCAGTTTCTCTACATCTACATCCTGAACCTGAGGAGCTGTTCTGGCCTTCTTGGGAGGATCTCCCTGTGTTAGGGCAAAGAAAGAGTGAGGTCAGGTTCTTTCGAAATAATTCAACACTTGGAAAACATTCCATTGAAATACATGTAGACTAAACAAGCAGTCCTGTTATTTCAAGTCTGAAATGTCAACCACAACTGGTTGCTTTTAAGGACAAGCGGGCTAACCCAGATTTCGGGGGTTTACAGAAATCTTGACCTACACCAAAGTGGGCATTGCCCTACCTATAGGAGGAATTTGATTTCATTAGCGTGTATATTTGTTTGGTTATAGAGAAAGCTCTCCTTGTCTTTTAAAGAAACTGAACAAGGGGCAAAAACTTTAACTTCGATTTTCTCAGAACAACATTTTTCGGGATAGCCACCTTGTGTTTAAAAGCGACCAACTGTTTTGTTAGGCCAGATCATCTCCCTCAATTCCCCCAAGTGTTTATGGGAAGAGGGAATGTCAGTCAGTGGAAGTTGAGCGGGCAACAAGTTGGTCCTATTTCCTTTTTTTCTTTCAGTCTAATGTCCATGATGTGGCGAGGTCGAGTTTACATGCCTCTTTCTACTCAAGACCATGGGATGTTAAACCAGCAATCTGTATCATCAGAGGAGTTAATTTCATAATTGTAACTCTTATAAGAAATGATAAGATATGATGATATAATATAAGATAAGAAGAAGGTGAACGTAAGAGGTAAGATTGTACTATATCGTACTGGTCATTTTTTAACTTTATCTGACAGACTGACAAAGTGACAGAAGAGTGGACAAACAAGTTTTTTATACCTCTCTTTATAATTTGAAGTAGGCTGAAGGATTTTCATTATTTCTAGCATATTTTGCATGCATCATCACTACACCAGCAAAATGGCACATCTCATTTTTGCAACTTTTGAGATAAATGAAAAAAAAAACCCCAACCGTTTAACTAGATAATTTATCATCTAATTATGGTAAAATTTGCCATGCGTGTTTGTTTTGTGACTGGCAACACATTTTTGCTTTGGTTTTACAAAAAGATAGATCTAGTACCACCAAACACAATATAAGGCTAGTTGCATTTGGCAAAACTTGTGAGTTCTCCCATATTTCTAGTGCAGTGACGAAATTCTGCTTCATGAAGTAGAAGAGGGTGTTCATTATGCTGTCAATGTGTCCTCTGTGCCAGAGCAACCAAAAAGGTTAAAACTATAGTTTTTGTTATAACTGCTTAACCCTATCCGTATGACCTGGGGTCATTTTGTACCTTCTGGGTTGTATTTTTCAAAATTTTAGAATACTTCTAGTAAGAAGATCTTTTTGAAACTTTCAGTATTTCTTAAAAAAATAATTGTGGCAGACTACTATGCAAAGCGTACGAATCGGATTAACGAGTAAATTTCCTCATTGGAAAGTGGTTGCACAGAGTTCCCCATGTCGTATGGATACAATAGTAAAACACGACGTATGGATACGATAGCAAAGCACAACGTATGGATAGGGTTAATAAACATGAAGTTCAAGTTACTTCAACTCCACTAATTGACCACTATAGTGTCCATGTGCTTCTCTTTACTCGAATTAACACGAAGAGCTGAAAAAACTGTGCATTCAACTCCTGCATCAGGAAGTCTTGTGTTATAGAGTATTGTTCTGTCATTCTGTAGAACGCAGTATCCTCACTAAGCCAGGGCTGGCCCTAACAGGGAGGGTCAAAGCAGCCAATTTCCTAAATTACCTAAATTGTGTTTATGGAGGTGTAAAACATGTAAAATCATTACAATAAATTGGGTCTCACCGGAATTGGAGCTTTTCTTTTCAAGTTCTTGCAAACACTAGGTGATGCTGACAAAGATTTGTTTCCAGAGAACTTTTTCTGATGTGACAAGACATGACTGGGCTTGCCAAAAGCTGGTTTCATTGGAGCTCCTGGGGATTCACGGGCAATCGATGCATTCCCTGTCTCAATCTCATGATGAGGTATCCGCCCAGAAATAACTGGTGTGTCAGGCACTTGAAAGGGACATCTTATGGTTTGTTTGAATACTGGAACCAATTTATCAGACTTTCTTTCGTTCAAAGTTGAAACTTTCTCTCCTGATTTTTTTTGCACGGAACATTGCTGAAGCATTTGCTTTGGCTTGAAGCGGGGAACAAATCGTGGAGCAGTGGGATTTGTTTTGCTCTCAGGACCACTGCTGCCAGAGAAGGAATGCTCACAAGAGTTACTTTTCTGTGGAACTGAAGGCGGATCTTTTGATCCCACTAACGGAAGACCACTTGGAGTTTTATTAATGTTTGAAATCTTCAATCCTTTAGGACCACTTGATGGAGACGGTTTATCCACATGCACACTTTTTGAAAGAGACTGCTGTTCACCAACATTACCAACCGCTCTGCCACTTGAAGATTCTCTAGCATTATTATCAGCTTCCTTCACTGTGCAGAGTTGACTGTTGTCTCTGTTTTCAGCCCTGCAGGATACGCTCTCACTAGAACGATCAGGTAATGGCACGATAGGTCTCTCAGTTCTTTCGTTGCAAGAAGACTGTCCGTTATTTGGGGGACCATGCAGCAAGCGGTTCACACTTTGACTGCTGCGATAGGGTATTGCTGACTTCTTGTGGGACTTGTTGGAGAGGCTTGCGTGCTCCCCTGCCTGTAAAATTAACAGTTCAACATGAAATAATATAATATACTGCAAAGAACTGATATTTACCAAAGTAGGATGATTTGAATATGAATAGA